ATAGCATCCGCTCTGATATGCGGATATGTGTCCGTGTAGTGTAGCTTCTTCTTCTTCTTCTCCCATCCCACCTCTTCATTTGGCTTCCGCATTACGCGCCAATAAGCCAGCCACTGTCTGTACATTCAAAGCACACAAAAACCAAAATTAAACTTATTCTTCGAAGTTCTTCCTCCGCCAATGTCGTCACAGTTCCAATAAAACTATAACTTTATTCTTCCGCGTTGGAATGGCAACGCAGATTCGAGGTGGAGAGCGAATACAAGGGGTCTTTCTTTTATGGATTCAACAAGACAGTTAAGAGGCACCCATGGTTTTTGAAGATGGGATTCAGCAAGAAATTGGAGATTGCAGTGCTCAGTCGTTTGTCGGTTTGTCAGTCGGTTGAGACACACGCTGGCCCCGGTGCATTTGGCCAGAGTCGGGTGGCAGGACTCGGATAGATGCAGCTGTGGGTCCGTGGGCTCACTGGATCACTTACTTTTTGAGTGCGAGCAAAATAAAACCAGCCACCGAAGCGCTATGCAGAGAATTAATAAACAACAAGGTCCCGCTACCGACATCAGTTCGGGCGCTGATTAGCTCTGAAAACGAAACAATATATAAGTGTCTTCTAAAATTTATTAAGAATTCAAAAGTAGCGCTGTAGACCACCAAATACACGTATAGTCCCCTAATGACCAAATCAATCAACATTACCCATCCGAGGTCTCTCCAAACACCGGTGTAATGAATCGCTGAGACCCCGATTCGAAAGTCGTTATTTAGTGTAGTCGTCCCACATGTATTTTCCCCCTGACTCCAGTAACTTACACCAGTGTAAAGTAATCTCAAATTAATAAAAACCGTGGCTGGCGAAATTGTGCAAGACGCGCAAGCCAAGTGAAGTGTGGAGAGGAAAGAAGAAGAAAATTTTTAAAATAGCCAACGTAAAATTTTCCATGATTCGATCGTCGGTCGTCGACGGTGACAGACGTGTTAGTCTTTGAATCTACCTAAGGCGACTTTAGTAGTGTCGAGCGAAATGTATTGTAGTATAGATTTATTTTAGTGATAGTTATTTAGTTTAGTTTAAGTAGTGTAATTTAGTTTAAGTTTAGTTAAGAATCTGGGATTTAGTTTTTTTTTTAGAGTAAGTTTTTCTTTTTTGTACTTTTTTGGGGGGGTCAGTAAGACCAAGATGGGAGGTGACTCCGAGGGAGATCCGACGATGATAGTAGATACAGAGGGGAAGACCCTGGAATCCCCTGCAGACATAATTGCTCTGCTGAGCAATCAAGTTATAAAAACGAAGGACTTAAGTTTTATAGATAAGATAGAGAACATAAAAAACGAGTATATCCCCGAGCTTATCTCTATAGTGCGCGAAGAAGTCTTCGAAGACAAAAACACTAAAGTGAATATTTCGAAGGAACTTAAAGACGCCTTAATAAAAAAATTAAAAAAAAATCAAACTCCTGTTCTGGAATGCGAACGGACTTTCCACCAGGATTCTGGAGCTCAGGCAGCTTGCAGAAGACCGTGCAGCTGATGTGATTCTCATATCTGAGTCTCACATTAAACCCGCCCATCAGATTTCCCTTCCCAATTACTTCATCTACCGTAGCGACCGAATCGGTCGTCCATGGGGAGGCACTGCCATTTTCATCAAACGAAACATTAGTCACCAAACTTTCACGCTCCCTGGTCCTCTTCAGATTGAAGCTACAGGACTAGACATCAACTTGGCTGATGGCAGCACTCTTAGGGTCTTCGCGGTTTATCACCCCCCTAATAAAAGACTACCTGTCCTTGATCTGGCAAGGATGATCGACTATAATGGCGCCGTTATTATCGCTGGCGACCTAAATGCAAACACCCGGCGTGGAACAGTCGAGCCACCAACGCGAGTGGTCGTGCTCTCCTCCAGTTTATGGACGACACCGACATCCTGGTGATCGGTCCTGACGCTCCTACCCATTATGGTCCGATTGGTAGACCTGACGTGCTAGACATCGCCATACTAAAGGATGTGACGCATAGCTACACCATCGATGTGCTGGATGAGCTGAGCTCCGACCACAATCCTGTTGCCCTTCATCTTGGAGATGATTTCGTAGACGAACCTTCCTTCTCAAGGAAGATCAATTGGTTGAGGTACTCGTTGTTAGTGGACGATTTCACTGGGTCAGTTCTCCAGGTGAACACTCGCGATGAGGTTGATTCGACTGTTCACGCTTTTCAAGCTCAGCTGAAACTAGCCCTGTCAAATTCCACCCTCCCAGTTCCACGTCGCCGATTCACTAACAACTTGCCGTTCGACCTCTACCAATTGATCAGGGCAAAAAGATCTGCTAAGAAGGAGTACCAGAGGACTCTCTGACTTGACTACAAGCGTGAACTCAACAGGTTGACTCAACTAGTACGTGATGAGCTTGAGTTATTCCGGAACGAGAAGTGGCAGGAGAAACTCCAACTCTCCACTGAAGTCGGTTCTGCTTGGCGCGTGGCTAAGCACTTCAGAAGGAAAAAAGTCACGATTCCTCCTCTCCATGGTCGAGCAGGCATAGCTCATTCTGAGGCTGAGAAAGCTGAAGTTTTTGCTGACAGTCTTGAAGAGCAATGCAGCCCCAATTACCAGCATGCTGACTTGGACCTTATCGATCAGGTCCATAGACACGTTCGCCGCTCCCTCAGAGCAATGCCAAATGACGATGTCATTGAGCCGGCCACCCCCAGAGAAGTCCACGCCATCATTAAGCAGCTAAAAAACAAGAAAGCCCCCGGAGTTGACCTACTACGCCGATGATACTGCCATCCTGGTGAGGAACACTTCGACCGATCATGTCACGAGGTTGCTCCAAGAGGCCCTTGATCAAATTGAGGATTGGTTTCGGCTCTGGCGTATTGACGTCAATCCGACCAAGAGCGTTGCGGTGCTGTTCACTCGAAAGCGCGCCACTCCATCTGGTGCGCTAACAGTCTTTGGTGAAGACATCCAGTGGAAGCCTTCAGCTAAGTACCTGGGGGTTACTTTGTATAAAGGTTTGCGCATCAAGCAGCATATCGAGACGGCCAGGAACAAAGCCTGCGCAACCATCAAGCTGCTTTATCCCCTGATGAACAGGAGGAGCCGTCTAAAGATTCATAGCAAGTTGGCCATTTACTAATCGATCATAAGATCCGGCATGACTTATGCGTCTCCTGCATGGGGTCATGCTGCACGCACTCACTTGTACAAACTGCAAGTGATTCAGAATAAGACATTGAGAACTATTTACAATGCTCCCTGGTTCATCAGGAACGAGCAGCTGCACCGGGAGGCTAACATTCCTTTCCTCTCGGAATTCATGAAGAAGTCAGCTGAGAAGGCTTTTGCCAGAGCTGAGATTCATCCAAATCCTCTCCTGCGAGCGGCCGTCGACTACGAATACTTTTGTGGGTGTGATGATCACCCGTCACACCCACAAAAGGCCGAGAATGGCTGCTACCTGACAGCACTGACATTCCCACAAGACTGAACACTCGTCATGCATCTCCACATGGGCCTTCAGTCCAATGCATTAAAATCATGAGCCGAAAGGCGGAGTACTCATCCACGAATTCACTGTCATGCATTCCTAGAGATAAAAGGCAACGTAGGAAAAAAAAAAGTTATAAAGAAATCTACTTTGTAATTTTTTTTTTTTTAATGTTATGAAGTTGTGAAGAAATCTACATTATAATTTTAAGAATCTTAGATTTTCTAACAAATCTGGAATAATTTTAACTTAAGTCATAACTACACGATAATTTAAAAAAGCTTAAGTAAAAAAAAATCTATTTTACTGTTTAAATAGATGAAAATTTTAAAGATTTTTTAAGAATAATGTAGATGTAATTACAATAAAAAATCTTAAGTCCTTAAGATTTTTTTAAAATAATTTTATGGTTGGAATTAAATTTTTGAAAACATAAAATATTACTTCTAGATATAAAATTTGGAAAATTAAATAAAATAAATTCGATATTATGTCTTTAATTTGGTGGAAATAAACAAAACTTCTTTACATGTTGAGAACTACACATAGAAAAAAGGTAGGTGAAACTTAAATAATATTTTTATATTTAATAAGACAATTTTCTTGTTTCATAAAAAAATGTCTTATCGAAAGGAAAGGTTTTAAGTATTAAATAGTATTAATAAATAAGAGAACCAAAAGAAAATAGTAAAAAAGTCATCATTAACCATAACATTCTACAAAGTAATATAAATGAGCTGCTAATAAAAAGAAACATGTTTAGAAAATAATAAATCCTAAGTTAAAAGGTAAACACAAAAAAAAACGTTTTCTCTTTTATTTCTGCTGTAGCATATTTATCGTATTATTATATATATATATAAAAAAAAGTTTGGGTTTTGAGCTATATTTCCGTGGCTCCGATGCAGGAGGTCAAGGAAACAAAAATTCAGTGTGCCCAAAAAATAAACAGTTCTTAGAAATATAACAAATCCATGTAACATTGCTTCTCCTAAACTCATTGGTGATATTATGAAATATCCCCAATCACAAAATGCACTAAATATTTTTTAACAAGAACAAAATGAGTTGTTTAAACATCGGGAGGATTAAAAGATGTGTAAAGTCACGCTTACAAAATAAATTAATTTGTTTGCGGAATGTTAAAAAAAAATGATTAAAATATTCGCTCGGATTTAGTATTTGGGCATCGATATTTGGTTATCATTGGTAAAAACATTGATTAAGTTAAGTAGGGCGGGATAGGTTTTTTTGGTTGGTTAGGCGAAAAACGGTTAATGTTATATTAATTACAAAATAAAAAATTAAAATAAATTACACAAAAAATAAAATTAAAGAGAAAGATTTCGACTCAGTCTTCGCATAGTAACTTGTCACAGCATTTTACACCTATTTTTTTTTTCTTATAAGAGTAAAAACAAAATGTAACGAAACATGGTAAATATGTCTACAATATAATATTATTTATCCTGACGTTACAATTAATTTAAAAAAATGAAAAAAAAATAACCTACTGGAATTTGATTTGATTATCCTTTCGTTTTCTGTCTGCTCGTAGGCCGCCGCGGACCACTTGCAAACCTGCACAAGTGGCATCATTCACCATCAACAGGATGCAAAACAAGAAAAAAAAAGCAACAGAAAACTTTGTAATATTTTCACAATAAGCACCACTAGATAATAATGATTGAACGAGATTTCTCGGAGTGTCGGCTTCGGCTCGGTTACGCAATGGAAGAAAGTATACTGTTAACTTCTAAAGCAAAGCCTGTCTAAACCATGGTGTACAATATTCATTCTTTCATCGATCCGGCTTCGGCCGACAACATTAATATTTAAAAAAAAAACGACATTTAAACACTTTCAATATAAATAAAATATGTAAAATATAATTTTCTTATAGTACAAAAGATTTCGTTAGAAAAATTGCATCGAATAGCACTGAAAGAGCGAAAGAGAAGACGTGCTTCCCTTCGCATCTCTAATCTTCAACCTAACGTTAATATAAATATAAAATAAAGTTCATTTTCGTATAAAGCCATCGGGTCATCCCTCTTCCGCGGGTTAAATAAAAAATTATATATATATATAAGTGTGTTGCGTGTGTCTCCATCGTTCTTTTTTTTTTATAAAATACATAGTAGAGAGTAGTAAATTGTACGACGAATTTAAATAAACCTAAGATAATTCTTCAACTAGATTCAGGCACGTATATTTCAATACTCTGTCGCGGCATCTGTTTCTGCTGGCGCATGGCCTTCCTTCTATCCTCGATCATTTGCTTCCGTTGCGCCTCCCTCTTTTTTCGCGCCTCCTCCGCTCCGGCGCTCTGAACTCTCGGCGCCGCCGGCTTTCTAACTTTGTTGTTATTACTGACCTTACTATCAATCACATCTACTGTCTTCTTCTATAAAGAAAAAACAAATAAGTATAACAAATAACAACACAACCTGTTAATAAACAAACAAACCTTTTCCACCCAGTTGTTCGCTTTAAGTTCTTCCATTTCCTTGAACAAATCGTCGATTTGATGTACCTGCAGCATGACCATATCCCAGAAGCCCTGCAAATCGTCGTTCGTCGTCGGAAAAGCGTTACCCTCCACCTAAACAACAACGTAAACCAATTAAATTCCCGAACAATAAATCCAATTTGAACCTATTCACCTGATTAATATTGTTGGTGCACAAGCCCTTGAACTGCTGCATCTTCTGCGACACCAAAAGCCTTGCCTTCCCGGAGGCTGACCTCAGGAAACCCTTGGTATCCTCGGATAGACCTTCAGCCTTAAGCTCTTCCTCCGCTTTATCCCCGAGCGCAAGAAGTCGCTCCGCCTCGCGATCGAGCACCTGGAGGAAGTAATGCCCATCCTTGACGTCTGAAACACGAGCAGGGCTTAAGTAATGATGAAGCAGCCATGCGATCACCGCCGTCATCGCCGCAAACTAACAGTCCCAGTTGGGGATCGCAGCCTTACATAACAGCAGTTGGGTTCGGCAATTACCCAGCTCATTGTTCTAAACTCAATCATCAAACTGCTTTCTACCTATTACACTTCAAACGCGATATCGCTTAAGCTCAATTTTAAACTGAAATACAACGCGTTGCTACATGCACTTACTCTTCACGGGTTTAGTTTGCATGATGATATAGGGAAGTTCAAAAATCATAACACAGGAACCAAGCACACACACACACACGAAGATCTCACGAAATCACAAGAATTTTGCGCGTGGCGCAATTACATGCTGCGTCAGAGGTAAAGTAAAATGTAAAATCATTCAAACTAATGACAGCTCGCAATTGCTTCAAGTAAATAAATAAATAAAATTGAAGGATAAAAATTAAAACAATTCAATTGTAACTATATCCGTCCGGATATTTTTTGCTCTACTTGAAACCGCTTCCCTAAACTACTAACGATGTTCTAACATATATTGATCCTACACGTTTTTTTTTCTCTAAGGTCATTATTACAACACCATTAAGATAAGGCGATAATACGAGTTTAGTTTTGGCAACATCATTAGACAATCCTAATAATAGCAAATAATTAATTTAAATGTCATTTATCTATTTTAATTTAAAAAAAAACAAAGAAATATTAATGAAGGATGTATGAATAAAAATATATATATTTCATTGTTTGAAAGACTTAGAGATTAATAAATAAATGTAAAACTGGTTGCCTAATGCTGATATCAATATATTCTAACGTACAAACGATCTTACGATAATTGAACCAATATGTTGATGTACACTAAACATTCACATTTTATTATTAAGAACACATATGAAATCTAAATGTATTTTTTATTAATCTAGTTTTATAAAATATAAGTAATATCGTGATCTAACTGAAATTAAATTGAAATATCCAATGGAAATGTGGACTTTCCTGTGAATACGTATATAAATCTTTTATAGTTGACAAAAAAAATGCATTTATAATGTTTACAAATGTAAAACTGTGTAATACACGAATTGCATTGTATTTCTCTTATCTTACGTTCATTCCCACAACAAAATCGTGTTGGTTCATAGAAATGCGATGACCCTGCATTCTGGGCTCCATTCATAAAATTCCCCGTTTCTAATGAACATCCGAAGCTTTTGAATCCCTGCTTAATTATAACAGGGTCTCTTGACCCCTTGATTAAACTGATTAACTGGTATCCATCATTTAATATAGCTCCACTCCTATATTATACTAATTAGTGCACCACTTTCCGGCCTCTAAAATAACTAATATAATTAAACGGCAGCCACGATTCCAATCTAATAATACCATCCGAGTTACTGCGCTGACATCAATATTCCTAAAATTAATCTGCGATGCTCGTCGACTATATAAACTCACTACACGTAAATTTCATTTGCAATATCATTGATATATTTATAGCCAATTTTTAGAGAGAGCATGTTATAAAATTGACAATACTTTTCTATCAACAGGTCTCAAAGTATGGTAAAATATGTGTAAGAAGTATAAATCTAAAATTATTAATTTAAAATTAATAGAACTTTGTCAAAGTAATGAGTAGTCAGCGTTCAGTTAATGTACAATGTACAATTACCGTAAAATTACCGTACGTCAATCGGAGGTTGAACGTACAATATGTCTTTATTTTTGTCATGTAATAAATAACAAATTTATATTGTTAAATAAGTTGTATGTAAGTAAGTGCCTTAAATATTTATAATGTGAGCTAAAATAAGATATTTAAAAATAAGTCAAGAAATAATTTAAGTAGTATTCCAAGAAGTGACCTTTAAGAAGCATTTCAAGTTGACGGGAGTTGCTGGTGCGAATTACACAGAAATGTACGAAGAAGAAAAAGACACTTACCACTTTGCTCTTGGCCATTATTAAGTACGACGTCGGTCTTGTGATGCGAGCAGCCGTTCAGCACCGGTGCTTTGCCGTTCTCTTCGACGGCATCGCCGTTAACACTATCGAGAATAGTGGGAAACGTGGTGCTCTTCTGCATGGAACTGTCACCGTTGGCGGCCATCCTTCGCGGACTCATCATAGGCAGCTGTGCCCTAAACTCCGGTGTCAGATGCCTGAGGACGGGCAGAGATGGACTGCTGGTGCTCTGCTTCATGTTTGCATCGGAGGCATCATCGGCGTGGAGCTTGTCGCACATAGATTTGGAGTGACTATCATTTTCGTAGCTGGAATTAAAGCTCTTCTCCGAATCCCATTCCGTGCTTCGATTCTTCTGCCTGTTGATCACCAGGAAGCCCTGCGCGAGAGCACCTGGCCCATACAGCCGCTCAACTCTCTGCTGTATGAAAGACTTATTCTCGTTACTACTACTCTTATATTCTACGGATTCACTAATGACTTTTTTAGACAACTTCTGGTTCTGCACGCCGTTTGTGTACTTCTTCTCCAAGCAAGAGTCCACCGAGTCTTTGGAATATATGCTCGAGGCGAAACTCTCCTTGCTGATGTACGATTTGGTGGACGTATAAAACTCCTGATGGTGATGGGTAATCGTCTGCTCGGCCATCGTGTACTTTTGCATCGGTAATGGGACTAAATTCGGCGGAGACAGTAAATTATTGTGGACAGCGTAAGTTAGATTGTCCTGGGCATGGTTCTCGTGAGGACGATGAGGAGAAGTATCTCTGGATCGGGCCAACCTCACAGGATCGTAATTGGTGGTCGTGCAATAGCCGTTCACGGTGCACGCCAAGCTGAGATACGATGGTAAACGATTGCTCGCCTCCTGTCCACTGGGACTCTTCAAACTCACACTTTTCAGCGTCCCAAGCGACGACTTTTCAGACGTATCTGCAAAATTCGGATCAAACATTATTTCACACATCGCAATAAAGCGAATCCATCGTGATGGAGACAGAGCAAAAAAATAATAAAATACAACGTATTGAAACGAAAACTTTCCAAAATACGAACGATTTATAGGCATGTCCAAGCGAATATTCGCACGGCTACGTCCTTAATAATCTATTATTAACGGCGGAAAGGAAAATAAATAACACGTTTTCCTTTCCATATTGTTTTTTGGAGTGGAAACAAACCGCGTACACACACACACAAGAACATCTATTCTATTTCGTTGTACTTTCTTTAGCTAATTAAGTAAATTCGGATGCAAATAAGAATTCACACAAAGAATGCAAATCATTTTTACCATGAAATAAAAAAAAATATGTAAAACGCAGAGCTAACAATACTGGTAATTACTCGCATACCCAATGAGAGTATTGTCAGCGACGAGAAAGTAAGCAGCAGTGGATTAAGTAAAAACAATACTGGGTTACTGGTCTACAAGAATGACTCTCTGTTTTAGACCAAGTAATTCAAAGAATAAAAACAAAATAAAATATGAAGCTTCGAGACTACAGAACACAACAAAACTGCTTAAAAAATAGACATCAAACTCTACCTGACATCTCGACAGAAGCGTCCACGTCAAGTGAGCACGTCCCAATGGAATCTACCGATCTATCCATGATGATCGGGGGTTTCACAACAATAACAGTCGTCTTAGGCTTAGTGTCCGCCGCATCTACAAATCCCACCAAGCGAAGATCGCGTTCCTCCTCATCGGAAGACGAAGACGAGGACACCGAAGGTGTTTGGGTCAAGAAGGGAACAACTAGGTTCGTGGGTCTCGGAGCGATGGGCAAGGAGCAGGGTCGTCGCGCCGGCACCGGCGACGTCGGTATCCTGGTGACGCCAAGTAGCAGCACCGTCGATCGCTCCTCCGGCAGATCACTGAGAATGATCACCAATGAAGAAGACACAATATATAGCACGCAATATAATTCGTTTTAAGGATGATCCAGGACGCAACGCTCACCAGACAACAGACGAACAACAATAGAAGTATGCGAGTATGGTACCGTTGCGAACGTTAATTGCGTCACAGCTAATGGCCAATCGGCATTACGTGAGCGTTTACAACGAGACAACAATAACATACAAAAAATAACGCGATTTTCAAATGTCCGTTAGTCGCAGAAACAAATTGTTGTCGTGATGGGCATTGCGCGCAAAAAACCTTCCGAAAATGTTCAGTAATGAAAGCTGACTAGAAGATATGATTAAATCTGGTGCGAGAAGATCAAAGATCACACTTGGTGCAAAATGTGGTATGGCTGTGGTGGTTTGTGTGGCGAGTGTAGAATGCAATAAGCGAGACACATCATCATTAACAGTTGCAAAACAGAAACAGGACAGTATTCAAAGAAACACAACAATAATAATAAAAAAAACAAATAAAACAAAATGCAGCGACAGGACAAGAGCATACGAAACAAGTTTCGAAATATTTGCTTCGAATAAAGATGCACACAAAACAAAACTAAATCAGACTATATTCAATTTTTTGTAACTTAAGATTCAACTGGAGTATTTATAAAAACAAAATCAGAACTACTAAATCAGACTATTTACTATTTTCTATATTAAAGATTCGTATCCAGCAAAAGTAAAACATTTGTACTAAAAATCACGGATTAAGAATCTAAAATTAATAGAAACTTAAAAAGTTGAATGAACGCAACAAAATTCATACGAAGCCATAAATAGACTAATAATAATGAACGTGTTTCTATTCTCATATAAATAATAAATGCATTGTATAAAACAAACAAATATTTTTTAAATCTTAACGGATAAAGTGAATACCTAAATAAATCGATATTGCCAAAGACAGTCAGATTACATGGTTAAAGTAGACTAGTTTTGTAGTGAAAAAAAAAACGTTCAGAAATTGCCTGTGAATCATCTGCTTCGAAAAGAAGCCTGTGAACATTGCCTGTGAGAACGAAAAAGGCGCGTTCCAGATTTTATATACAGGAGGGCGACAAATCAAGTAAAGTATTAATACATACACAGTTCGTATACAGACATATCCAACCCCCTTTTTTATCGACTCGTAATTTTAGGAACGCGATTAATCTTCAATGAAAATGTAGGCTAAGGTCATTATTTTCTGAAATTCCGCAATTTGAATCAAACGTCCTGGGGCGATAGGAGAGAAAACCAACATCGTGAAGTGAAGTGATGGTAATAATAATGACAGTCTGACATCACTGCAAGAAAATTCCTCGTCGGAAGGATTCCTTTCTCCAAGTACAGACGGAGGCGACGTCTCTGCATTTATTCGTATTCAAAACGACCAGCGCGCTACGCCCATTCCTTATTTTATGCACGACCGGGTCGTGAATGATTCAGCCATCCACATCATAACAATACAATCAATAAAGAAAATAACTAATAGAGTTTCACATTCTACCAGTGTCATTATGCACTTGCGACAAGGTATTTACATAACTGTTAACAAATGCATATCGCTAATGGTCAATTCAAGTGATCGGTTATTGAAACATGTACGTGTATCAAATATGAAAATCATCATCATCATTCAAACATTACTAAATCAACATTCTTCAATCAACAATTACCGCATTATTTATTTGTATTATAAGACGCATTGGACTATAAGACGCACCCATTTCTAAATCAATTTCTTGCATAAAATAATATTCGTCTTATGCGGACTAGAAATAAGATAATCAATTAATTACAAATTGGAATTAAACAAAGCTATTATAGTTTGTATTTGATCAATATGAGTATTAAAAGTCTTGTTAAAAAACGATTAATTAAAGGAAACATTGGTTGCAATAGAGTAGTAATTAATTGGTGCGCTGTTCCGGTATGACCAATTTCATGGTTAAATGTGTTATCAAGCTTTATGGTCTGGAAAGCCATTTTAGGGCGCTATTGATTTGCCATGAGGGCACATAATAATAAAAAAAAAAAAGGAACGTATGCTCACGAACGTCGATTGGGGGAGCGAGCGGATTGCAGGCATCGTTCAGCCACGTGAAAATAATTACAGGACAGGATATCCGGCCGGGTTATCGAAATATATGTGAGCCTGGTATGGATGGAGTTTTACTGCGACCAAAAAAAAATAAATAAAATTGCCTGGTAGGATGCACTTTCCCCGTGTGTTCATTCGTTCGTTTGTCGACCAAAAATCTTTCTGGCGGAAAGAACAAACAAAAAAAATATAGAGAATAGACCCACGTAGCATTGTTTAATTTCGCTACGTCCATGACCAAGTCTCGCCAATGCACACACACACTCCGTCTTTGGATATTGGATACATTTACGCAACTGTCTGCATTCATTCATGCCTCTAATATTTCATTGAATTATTGTAAAATTGCAATGAATGAGGTCTGCGCCCACGTAGAAACAAACAGCATGAAACACTTTGCAAACGCGTAGATCCAACAAACATATTAATCTTATTTTCTTGTATTGGATTGACAACAAATGAAAAAATTGGGAAACAACAATACTCTTATTGTTCCAACAATGTTAATCGAGATAACAAGTAGGTATTATGTAAGCGAACGACAATGACTAAGATTTGCATTCGCTGTTCGAATCTTTGGTTCGATGTTTGTTAACTACAATCGCTTTCTCATTAGAAGCCGATGGAAAATGTTAATTGCGACCAGTTTTTCACCTTGGCAGAACCATATCGAAAACGGACTCATGGTTCGAAATAAATTATCGGCATGCAACATTTGGCGACACATTTACTGCAAAGGTGGTTTCTTTTAATAGGTGCACCAAATAAATTATTTATAACGATTTATGATTTGCAGATATCTTCTGAATATCGAAGATTACAATAATAAATGAGATATTTATATATCTGGTTCATATCGGTTCCACCGGACTAATCGAGGACTTTAAAACCGCATAAAAATAAACTACATAAAACTGTATAAAGTAAAAATAACTTATTTCAAACCTATGTGTCACTATGGTGAATCCGGACTGATCGAAGCAGCATTTTACGATGAATTGCTGTAGTTATATTTCAAGTATCAATTATCTTAGTATTATGAAACAAAACTATATACTTCCCCAAAATTGTCTTATATTTATTACGTTAAATAAATACATATTTAAAGTGTGATTTTTTGTGACAGAATATAATGAGTTAATAAATTTAAAGGTGAATGAATGAATGGAAAGGATTGAAATGTACGACCGGTTCTAATGTAAATAAAGGATACTTCAATGAGTTGATACTAATGATGTTGATGAATTAAAAGTAAACTTGTCAGTAAACACTGGCTTAATATAATACACTCATGGAGAATGATGTAATTTTGATTATCCAAAAACAAAGTTTGAAGCAAATATCAAAATTAAAACACCATTATAATTTAAGTATGCCACGGAAGTGGTTGTTAAGTTATAGTCTCAGTCATTGATTGAATGTAACAACTGCTTACATCATTTCTTCATAAAAAGATGCGTTTTATGATCCGAAAATATAAGATAATCAATGAATTACAAACATAAATTCAACATATATCAAAACTATATTTTGACAGCAATGAAAAAACTATACTATTTAATAAAGAGCTCAATTATTACCTACATACAAGGGCTTGTTTAGACATGGTCTTTACGGGCTACAGCCCCATTCAATTGTATTTAGTTGATGATGGGGAAAGAATATCAAATTTTTAGTTCCGGGTTGCCCACCGCAATACATAATTGGTGAAGATCTTATGCAAATCTTCATCAATTATATATTGATATTAGTGTCCCAAATTTCACGCAAGATAACCCTATATTGTATACGTTATGTACCACTACAAAAATTACAATTTACAATTAAAAACCTCAAAATAAATTCTTGCGCAAATTTTGAGACACCTTTCATAATTGGTGAAGATTCGCATCATAACATCGACAAAATATTTTCCTTTTCTTTTTCATATTTTTACTTGGATTGGAAAATAAACTATTGCAAATATAACCAGAAAGAAGACATTGATTGTAGACATAAACTTGATAGGAGAATCAAATGATAATAATTCAAATAATTGAACATTAAAGCCCATCAACATAATATTATGCTAGTAAATTATTTATCATTAAAGCTTTAGTTTAAAAAAATTATATTCTCGTATGTATATCATATGATATATCTTTATAGTAATAACAACTCATTATACATCTGAGCATTTTTATGGGAGGCCGCTTAAGGCGCCCATAAAGAATAACACCGCGAATAAATCAACGTTTATTTATCGGACAGGATTGAAACGAAAACAATCAATTCGAAATGAGCCATTTACATAAATTTCATTCACTTCTCACTCGCTCCTTTTTTTTTGTATATAATTTTTAGTAAAGCATGTAGCCACGGTCTGCGTTGTGTTTTTTTTTCAATTCCACGGCATTGCCTAACGGCTCATAGAATTAATGAGAATTATAATACTTACACGTTCCCACTCTGTTCTTTTTCCTACTTCTTCTTTCTTTCATATTTTTTTTTGTTCATATTTACAACGTTAATTATAAAGCGGCCGGCATAATTAATCCGCTCGCAATAATAATTTATAATCGGAACGGATTTTCTTGCGGTTTCTCCAAACATAATCGTTTTCTTTAGCGTTACGTATTATTGCAGAGACTGGCCAGTCGGCCGGTGTTCGCGTGTGTGGACTTGATTTATAAACACGATTTTTTTTCTGTACGCATTATATTTATTCTCTTAGGTTCAGTAGCGATAATTTCACCTGACGTAAAGTTCTTTACGCAATAAACAATTATCAAGCACGATTTTATGGTAATTACTAACGAAGGCTGATCGAGATGCATTGTTTAGTTATAGAATTATTATGTTTTACACGACTAGTTGTAACATCTGTATTTGTTAGGAGATAAATTATAAGTATTCAACATCTTTTCACACTAACAAATATTTCTCTTACTACCGAGATTCCAATGATAAAACAAGAAATACCAGATTTACAACATGTTTGGTTTATTTTTAATGCAGTATTATATATTTATAATTACACTAGTAAATCCAACAAAAACTTTAAAATTATAATATTCTAGACTTACATATAGTTAATTAAATTTACCAATATTAAGTTTAATTAAATAAACCATTAACAAATTTAAATAATAAATTGTAACAAGTTTTTAATTACACTTTTGTAATATTGTTGTAGTCACAGATATAATATGATACGTCAAAAGATAAACCATCTCTACTTATATCTTTTATTCAAATAATTCCATAATAAACTTCTGACTAATGAACAAAATTGAACCATTCCTATTTTTAGGTAGATGATTTAAAATCAACATCTAACTTTTGAAAATGGAAAATGTTTCTCATAGTCGAAAACCTACATATTTAAACATATTTCCTTGAATTTTTTTTTTCTTTGAAAATATGTAAGTGTAAACGACAAAACAATATATGTAATGACAAACTACCCAACAACCTCAAATGATCTTGCAGCTTCCTGGGTGAAACTCATAGGTGATTCCAGTTTGGGGTTGTCCAAATCAAACATCAAGATGTACGCATGATTTCCTAAGAAACAGATTGCGTATCGACATTATACTTGTCCACGACGCGCCTTTTTAATCGTTGCAATAAAATTGCTGGATCCACATTCTTTGGAGAGTTTGGGGTTGCTTTCGTGGACCTCTTCGAGCATTTTGTGGAGTCGGAGTTGCACGCCACGCCGCACACTTTGGTGGAAGCGACAAAGTCTAAGGTGCGGGCCCTGATATTTGCACCAAATGTCAAGGCCAATACCAAAAACCTATTTCGATTATACTTCAAAATATACACAGACAACGTACTAACAAAATATTTGTCGAAGTATTACTACATACACTTTTTTTATAGTTCTCTATTTTTAGACAACACTTGCTAAATTTTCCTTTTTTTTACATTTGCTATATTGCTAAGAAATAAGTGAACAAATTTCTAAAATACAATTGTAAAAAAAACATTACTTTACACTACTTATAAAAAGATCAAATTACCATGTTAAATTCTGAATGATTACTTATTACTGATCTGTAATGAATATTTGTATTATTTTTTGAGTTTGACTATGAAATTTTCCTTTTTATAAATTTTTTGTATCACTTACAAAACGCACATTATAAGTTTGTAGTAAAACAACTTCACAGAAAAGTATTCAATGATCATGGTGAGATAGACAGCATAATGACATATTTATACAATAGTTCCACACGTGCGGATCACTAAAAAAATGAGTACTTGCTTCTTTCATCTTTATAAGCCTTTGTCGGCAACCAGTTTTGTAACAACTGTTAATAATCACACAACGAATTCTTTTCATCTGTTATATAAAATCAGAAAATGATATGTTATTAACTTACAGGCAACAATGTTATATATTAGGACTAACAGAAAAAATAAATAAATTTTACTTATATAAATATGTACAGTTCTGTTTTAAATATACCGTAATTTAATCGCTCCATTTTATGTAGAAAAAAAATAAACATTTGTCTAATTTCGAATGATCAGTCTGTTGTGTTATGTATAGAATGAAAGATTAACAGATTTGTTTGTTTCCATTTCATTTTCGTGTTTAATTTATCTACATTTTTATATAAATACTTCAATTATCATTGAAATCATCAAACATATATTTAAAATTATTGATAAAAATATGATAAAATTGTCATATTTTTATCAATAAATTTTACACATTTCAATTGTTTTTTCCCAAAATATTTATGATGTAAGATGATTTCTCATGATTTGTTAAAGATTATAAACAAAATTACTTTATTATAAATATTGTAGATAGAGCAATGCCTCGCATAGTGCGGCTTCGATCAATCCGGTTTCAATATATTGCGCTTTGAAAAATTCAAAACAAAATTAAATTAAAAAATGAATACACAATTTATTATTTTTGTATGTAATTAGTTCATCGATTAGTTCGATTTAAAACAGTAACGGATATTGGAGAAACCAATTGCCCGCACTGTGCGAGGTATTGCTGTATTTATAAATGAAACTCAGAGCTTCGACAGAAATTAACACACATTTTCTCACACAGTTTACATTGTATGTGCTACTATTACAAACATTCGATTCCCATAAGATTTGCGTAAATATTTGTAAACGCGATGCTGTGAGCAAGCGATCACCAGGAAAGCGGCGGTTCGTTATCATTCCACACTTCCTGCTCACCCGAAGACGTATTTATAACACCCAATTGAAGTGACTCTTGTTTTTGTTTTTCTCAGGTATAATCTCATGTTGGAATGGGATACGCCATGATCATCAAAGCCGTCACCGTTTCATGTCCGCGCGATTACGTGGCCATCGTTATTATTAGTTCCATTTCCAATAGAAATTCCGACGGTGTCTTTTACCTTTGTCTTCCTCACCCAGTTCAGTAATCCGAAAGCGCGCGGGGAGACGCGTATTAGAATTTTGTTTATTTACGGACGACTCCGAATAGCGTTTTATTTATTTATACTGGAGCGAAAGAGCACACGTAATAACACTAACAAACAGAACCGAGATTCGATCCAGTTTATTTAGAAGAGAGGAAAACCGTAATCACGACAGTAATTGCGATGAAGAAGATCCACGAACGTTGTTCGGAATCTCTTCCATGTTATTAGTTGGAATTTGTTAGGAAGCGGCTCGAAGCGAAAGCCATTCCATTTGGTTATAAGACAAAGACCATACAAAAAACAAAACGAAAAAATTATTGATTAGTGAGTTTGGGCTAACCTTTTGATCCATTTACTGATGAACCTATTCAACCGCTTCTTCTTCCCCATAGCTTCGTAGTAGTTCTAGTAGTAGTAACAGCAATACCTTTCTGCTACTTCCGCCTTCGCAGATTGTTTTGTTTTCAGACGTGAAACACTGCTGGCTTTTGAAGTGAGATGCGTCGCAGGACAGGAGTTATTGTAAAGTGGAAGTCACTTTCGCTCACTCACCGAAATCTAAATTAGAACGAAGCTAGACGCTAGGAATTCCCTTTTCGCCAGATATTTTTAGACGCCCTAGCCTAACCAACTGAAAATATTCGGCTCGCGCTCTCTTCAGTCCACCGACCGAACTGAAAACCCACACGGATGCAATTAACTGCTATCTGCAGCATTAATCAAATCCATGAGGATAGATCGAAAGTGGCTGAACATTCGCATGCAAATGCCAACGGCCAGAAAACTGTATCATCATCATTATCATCACCATACAACAAGTTATTATCCACGTGCGGACTGGATTTCTCGAAAACGCGGCCTCCTCTCAGATCCTGCACACGCATTCTTCTACTAGTCCGACCGCTTAGCGGAATTCCACGCACGGTCGAAGCATCTGTCAAAACCAACTACTCGACCAGCATCGCCTTAAATTTATACAATTAGTATTTCAATTTTCTTTCATTCAGTTTTAAAATCAAAAGTATTACGAATCAAATCCAATAAACTAGATAGACGTGGATTAATCATCGCTATGATTAAATCATGGTGGCTCGGACAATTAAACTGATCGTAATAAATGTACAATTCGCTCATATCATTTTAATGAACCAACAAAATGCACAACACTGAATTTATTGATCCAAAATACAAAAGAATTATCCATAAATTACACATTTTACCTTATTTAAAAAAATATTTACCAAATTTCATAATATATACATTTGTATATTACTTTTATAATAAAACATGAAGATTGTTTCTTTATAATTTTAACAGTAAACAAAAATACATCCATTTTACACAAAATAAATTACTACGTTGTTAACCTTATTTTTTACTAGTTATTTAAATGATTACTTGAGTTCAATAGTTCTATAAAAAATATCTTCAAATACAATTACTCCAGGTTTTTTACATTGTAAGTGCTTTTATAGTAGTGTGTTGTTTGGAAACAGCTTATCGTCTTTGTGCCACAAATCCAGTATACTTAGGTACATTGTATTTCTTTAGAAAGCATCAGTCACGTATACGTTAAACCTTTCTAAAAACTCTGTTAATACTCTAGTAGAACTACTCAATATGCTGATCTGATTTATTTCATTGTCTTTTATTATATTATTTATGGTTTTGATGTTCTTATATTTTGTATTATTACATTTATGAAACGTAACATTCAGATTACGTTATGAAATCAAAAGTGTTCCATACATCATATGTATTTTATTATAATCATATGTTGCAAGATCTACATCCATATTGCATTTACATAATTTTGTTGGGAAATATCATGCGTGGGAAATTGAGCTTAGAAAAAATAGCTATTTATTTAATTCCTTTTTACAGTTGCAGTTTTTTTTATAAATAGGAAATAATAAATAAATAATCATTTTAAACATTCTTAACTTTACTATAATTTATATAACTATGTATTTCTTTTAAATAAAGCTTAATGGGAAATATCTATTTTTGTATTGTATTATCAGTAGATCAAACACAAAAGTTCCAAAATTTAGACCCGAAATCTCGAAAAGATAATCTTAATGATTTCCATATTAGAACACACACATTTTGGCTACCGGTGATTACATAACATCTACAAAATCTGCAAGAAATTTTAAATAATCTTCAAGAATATTTTAAAATAGAAAATTTGGAGTAAAGTAAAAACAAGAAATAAAGAAAAAATTTGAAAAATCATTGAAAGAATAGTGATTTATTTCCTATAAGAATCTTTTTGTTGATACTTAAGAAAGTTTAGTAGTAAAAAATTAAGTAGGACTATTTTCGCTAGGATAAATGTTTGATATAAGAAAGGTTTAATGGTTTTAAAAGCTTCGATTTATTATGTAGGTTTTAATGAGATATTAAACATTTAATTTCTAAAATTTTCATATTTATACTGTTAATAATCATCCACCGAGAAAGTTTATCCAATTAATGTCAACCGCAATAAAATGTACTTAATGTTCCGTTAAAAGCCGACGTCCATCAAATACAATAATTGTATGTAAAACTTTATAGAAATTGTATAAATAGAAATAACTTGTATACTGCAGGTAAATGGTTCTACAATTGTTTGAAAACGGACAAATCGAGAACTTTAAATAACGAAAAAACTATTATTTATGTATAACACAATAATTTTATGTACTATTCTTTTAAGAACTTTTTAAAAATTTAAATAGGTCTAGTGAATCCGGACAAATCGAAGTCGCACACTACGATGTATTACTGTATTTAAAATAATGCATACATCAATTCAAATTACATGTACTGGTATAATCATATATTAATCTATACAACAGTTATCTAACATGAAATTAAAAACAACGTAAACCAGATACGCTTATTATAATCAATGAAAACCGCCCACAAAATCACAGGAAAATATGAAATATCAGAAGTGAAAAACATACCATAACAAACAATAAAACTGATTAGAAAGAGCTGCACGTAAAAGTCATTCGAATTAACAAACAACGAAAAGTACAAACTGATCCACACCGCACAGAGTCTACCTGTCTACTACCTTCTTTTCGTAACACCGCACTGGCACTCTAGTAACATTCACCTGAATGAGGTCAAAGTTTGCATTCACGTAGGAAATTAGAGAGAGAATATGAAGAGAAAAAACAAAATATACCAGAACTAATTACAATAATTTCCCTCTTTAATCCACTAATAGAATTAATTTCGGCAATTGGTCTCGTTAAAAATGTAATTCCGCTCGTGCGTCGGGGCGCTTATTAAATTCATTTGCGTGGGCCGAAGTGAATTTCGCTCGACCTCAACAACACCAGCATATTAAATGCTCAATTTTACAGCAGAAGCAATAATAATAACCGAACCGACCACAAAATAAATAAAACTGCGCGAAATAAAATGGAATGAAGCTGAATTCAGCTTGCAGCAAACTTCTTTTTATGGAGTTCCGCAATCACAGTTCTATAATAAGAGATGGTGTCAATTTCCGTTGGATCATCGTAAAAGGTCATTCCGTGCGTTTTATTACGGCAAGACGCTTATTGTAATCACCGCTGAAAAAATGCGATTTGCTATAAACATTTCAGTCTGATTTACATTTATTCATTCACAAGTATAACGGTGACATAATTTACAAATTAATCATAAAATTTCATAATTTATATACTAATAATAAACCAAAAATAAATTTCTTATTGCAATCACGCGCAATAAACATATTAACAATGCATTTAAACTGATTGTAAAATATAGATTTGAAAAGACATTTTAATTTAATATAGAACTGCCTTTTTTCTATGAAGATTAGATAAGTTATGAAACATTGATTTAACTCAAGAAAGACGTAATAACCTGCTATGGATATAAAACATTATTTATTTCTATGAAGGTTAAAAATGAACACATCAATTGATGAATTATTAATGCCATATAAACTGAATCTCATAATATATATGAATGAATGTAGTGTCTGCATTTGTAGGATTTCTATAATAATTCATTTTTCTACTTAAAAAAGACCATATTCTAAAATAAAGACATAACAAATTGACTGACACACAACTAATATTTATTTCTGAAGTTAGAAATAAACACCAATTATTAAGAACTCTCTTTGTCCATTTCTATAGACTTATTTCTCTATTTATTTGCTCTAGGTAGACAAAATTACTCTCATACATCATTAAAGTAACGCCGGTTACTGTTATCATATTTTAATTAACTTTCAATTAACAAGTATAATTATTTTTAATTAAAGTATAAATGGTAATATTGAAATAGATTCATTCAGAAAATGTTCGAATTGTTGCAAAAGACACGCATCAGTTCAATGTAGAGCATGCACAAGAATGCTATCAATATAAATGATAACCCAATTCTGTTAAAAAAAATAATGAAAGCATACAACTTGATTCATTATTTCTTCGCCAATTAATCTAATTTTATACGATTATCATAAAAATAAGATAGAAAACAACAAAATATTAATAATTGCAACAATTACATAATTAATAACAAAGTGTGAACTAAAAAAATCATTTCAAAAGACTATACGCCTTTACGTGGAAAAATATTTCAAACCATTATTAAACCTCACTATGGTATGATGAACTCAAACTTGCAGACATGAATTCCAATAAATACACATAGTTAAGACCAATATTTGCTTATCCAAAAAAAAATAGATACGATGAATCAATATTTGATTATACAAAAGGAGCAAAAAAAATACATATCGGTTGTATGTATTTTTTTAATTAACAACTAAAATAACATTTGCAATCCATTCGAGTTTGAATAATTCAATAAAATTATTATATAAGTAGAAAGAATGTGGACTTACGGCGAATGTAAATATATTGTTTGCTTTGTTTTTAACTCAACAGTGGCACTTCGTTACCGTTTATTGCAATTTGTAAATGATATTTGAAAAAGGAATCAAGCGTTCGCGTCTACGCTTCGATACATACTAAGGTCGTAGCGTGATCAGCTGTTTAGGGATGGCGCGCACATCCTTGCGTCACTTGATACATGTAAATTACTCTACCTGTCGACTAATTTTATGCAGCAAAACGAATCCGAAGAAACGCTTTTCGTCCTACGTTAATACCACACTCACTACACCTTTCCATCAGCTAAATTACCAGGCTATCTCTGAATCTCCGCTATAGTATGTACTGCAATCCAGGTCTACCGGGTTGTTCATTAGTTATGCACGAGCTAATTTCAATTGCGATTTGTATGTGCTTTTCAGACCTAAAATAGAGAAAGTTCCAATCCCACGAAGAGGGATATTCAGATCCGATTTACTAAATCCTGCATGAAATTGCTTCAAATCTGAAATATTATTACTAATTTAACATTTCCCCGTAATCATTTTATATAAAAATAAAGAAATGAAGGTGAAAAATTGAAAACTTCTGATGGAAAACGATTGAAGTCGAAGAGTCTCGAAGATGGGCGTGTTATGCAAGGAGAAATGCATACCGAGAAAAGAAGAAAAGAAAACTTGTACGAATCGATTCGATGTATCTCCTTATTTTTATTTTTATACTGCTTTCGATCGCCAAAGAAAATGCCGCGAGTTCAAACAAGGGAGAAGAAAGACGGAGATATTTTCTATAACATTCTTTAAATTCTGATATTGACTGAAACGTGTAGTCATGCAAATCATCATAGAAATGAAAGTAATTTTCTCGGTAAAATAAAATTTCTGGGAACGTAAAGAATTTCTGAAAATGTTGATTAAAGTAGGAAATTAGTAATTGTAAACGTCGGTATAGTACTTAATTAAATTTAATTTGTTTTTACAACGAACAGTTCAGAAATAATAAACAATAAAGAAATACGGTAAAAGCAATGAAAACTTATAACATTGTTCATTAATTGACAAAGAATTAATAGAATTGTCATCATTCACGTTTCTCTCAGAAACACAATTTTATATAAAATATTAATTATATTTATTGACAACTTTCTACATTAAAGTAACATGTCTTCTCTTCAATTAAGTTAACAAAGAATAACATTCAATTCCTTATTTTCTAAAACCTTTCATTAAACAATAAATGAAACAAGAACGAACTATATATTAACTATAATAATATTTAACTGAATTCATACAATGATTACTAATTCCATTTTCATGTTTACCTTGCAAACATATATAATCCATATGATAATACTAAATAAAGTAATCATTAAATTAATTGCAACTTACTTTTTATACAATTAATATTAAAAAACCAAACAAATTACAAATAAAATTCGATAAATTTCATAATATAAATCATTATAAAGTTTTGATTATTTAGAATGATAGTGGTTTCAAAATTATATAACTTAATTCTGAGTAATTTCTTAATCAAATTGCATGTATTCATCCAAGAATGATAACCAATTTTATCTCTTTGGTTAAAAATAGTAAAATTAAAAGAAAACGCTTTTTCTTCTATTATGAGCTATAAGATTTCTTCTTTTATATTATATTACTCATTTTGATCGATTTAAAGGAATAGTTCGTAATTCAACTAAAAAAATATATAAAACAAAATTTTATTGATGATAAAATAATGCAGTTTATATGGGCAATTACATTTGATATAACTTTTGACCTATTTCACATTGAACATATTAGTGATCAGTAAGTACATTGGAATCATGATCGTTCATGTGAAAATATCCAATATGCGAGTTGCGAAGTAGCTCTCAAAATACATTTAACAATAAAGGTGTATATAATAGCCAACCACTTGTGAAAATACATTTAATTTTACAATGTATACCAATTTAAGTACTCAAATCTCTCTTCTTATGGATTTCAACAACATGTCTATAGATACTCTTAATCTATTTTGTCACCCATTTCATATTTACATGTTTTTTTTAGTACAAACGTTGCGAATCATATTATTAATATGTAATTTAGATGAATCATCTTATGTAACAAACAACTGGTAAGCTCCCATCTGTTGTAAACCACAGCAATAGATAAACAAAGGTTTATATAATAGCAATTTCTAAATACCACCTACTACCAGTCAATTAATCATAAAGCTTCTCAACTAATTTCACCATACAATCAACATAGAAATTTCGCCTCATATGGGTTAACCTAACCGAGATAACATTTTTTACACAAATAATGGTATCAGCATTGTGCAACAAAAGTTTGAATTTCAACTCTTCCATTTTCCCATTCATTAAATGAACAATATTCCATTGTCTCGTCATCTTTGCAAGCCATAAATTATGGAGAAGATTGCAGATTTATGTCCTCTAAATCACGCGTGGTGTGAGTGACTCAAAAATTCACGAGAGCCAAAGAAGTGTTCACTTGAGAATAACTGCTCGTAAAACGTTAACCCAAGTACCTTCGAAGTGTTTGCTCAATTACATGAATAGATTCGATTTGCATCTACGACCCTCGCGTACTTTTACGCTGGCTCTTGAAAAACAACGTTTTCTAATTGGAAAAACAAATGCTGATTGAAAACACGACATTGCTGAGTGCAGTTGTTTGCAGAATATATTGGCACATTGTGGTTTCACGCAGTTATGGCTAAAGTGGAAAGTGATTTCGTATAATATATATTTTTTTTGGTCACAGTGCCCATGGAACCTGTTCTCCGAATATGTCTTACAATAAATATTTCATGTTACAAAATAAACAAGATGCAGGAACTATAATTATACGTTGGTCAGTAGGCGTCTGAACCATGGCTTCACCAAAAACGAGAAATACGAAATGAATTATATGCATATTTATTTATTGATTTTTTTGTTGTTGTTTTGATTATAAAAAGTCTAAAAGACAATTTATAATAACATATTATAAAAGTTATTAAATATAATTAGTTATTGTAATTATTTTAACAAAGTCAATTGCAAAGTAAATGCAATCTAGGAGTTTTAATTTAAAGGCCAAATGAATAAACAAATGAAGATAAATACAGTTTACAAAGAAGAAAACATAAAAAAATAATGTGCATGTTTTTTTCAGTGCAGGTCTTAATAAGCAACAGAAAAAAAAAGAATAAGAACATGTGTAAAGGCAATGCATGAGAGTGCAATATAAAAAAAGATACAAGTGTGTGAAGGTACATGCAAATCTGCAACAGATCCTTTTCGTCTATATACCATGATGGGGCATGAATCACAGAGCACTGTTATGGAAGAAGTGTGCTGTTTTCCCTTAAGGAGAGCTGCACTTAAGAATGAATTAATTTTGGTAAGCACTTACCGAAATTCGAAGAAGGATCGTTCTTATTGGATTGCGGCACTTCGCAAATGCATGAATAACCAGAAGAACCTGACCCACTTTTAATCCTTTAACAAAAATTTTGTTTCACACAGCGCACAACCCACACGTCAAAAACATAAAGCGGACATGTTGAAATTCAAAAACCTTTGACATCACTCCAATTGACATCGAAACCAGTTTGGCCAACTGTTATACAAGAATATACAAGAGTTAACTGCTTGTTATAATTGATATTTCTTTAAATTTTGGTTTATTTATGAACTGTTTATATTTTAGAAATAAATCAGTAATTAAAATATAACTTATACTTGGTACATTGGTAAATTCCAGATGTAATTTACAAAATATAATTGGCTAACCTGCAAACTATAAGTTATATTTCGAAGTTTTTCAAACTTTGTTTAAACCGTATAACGATGGCAGCGAGCAATCAATCATCACAATTAATGGATTGCTATAATTTAGCAATCCAATGGTAAACGTCGTAATGTTAATATTTTAATTAATTAAAAGTATTATTTTCAGGTTTGAACACTTCGATAAAACGTTCAATGGTGAGCAAGGATCCGTAAACAACAAAAACATCTTGGAGATGTTGGAGAACGCAAAGCAATATATAAATACTATTATTCAGTTGGAAAATGAAGATTCTCATTCTGTAACTATCGTTCAACCTAAGCTTCTTCCATTCCAGTTTTAGGCTCATGTTGACAAAATATTTATATCACCCTACAACTGTATGGGAAGATGAAGATATACTATAACTAAATTAAATCAAATTTGATTGTTGATTTCAGTTGTTGCTGTATCAAATGCATGCAACTTTAACTAATCTTAAAACACTCATGGAAGATATGGAGAGTAGTCCCAAACGGCGTACAAGGAACAACGTAAAACGATTTTATAAAACCGTGGAAGACAATAAAATAAAGCCAAAGTTAAGCGGGTTGAAGGATATAGCTGGTTACGAGGATGTGAAGAAGCAAATAAAGACTTTGTTCGTTTTGCCACTGAAGCAACCGCAGTTGTACTTAAATAGGCAATCGCAGAAAACGTTGTTGCTCTTCGGACCTCCGGGAACTGGCAAAACGCAACTGGTACATGCACTAGCTGCTGAAACTAACGCCGATATTTATTCTTTAACTGCTAGCACCATTATGTCTGCGTACATTGGGGAAACTGAAAAGTAAATTAATGTTCATAAAACTCTTCACTTTCTATCAGTTTTACATTTTCAGGATGGTTGAAATAATGTTCAAAGTGATGAAACATGTACCCAGAATATCTATTTTATTTTTAGATGAAATCGACGGGCTTTGCAGGAAACGGCATGGATCTGAACAAGATCATAATAGAAGGTAATATTTCATCATATTTAGATCAGGTTTAACAATTAGATTTCAGGCTAAAAACAGAATTTATGTGTCAACTATCGAATTTCGATGAGAATCCTCAATCGTTCTTAATATGTGCCACTAATTGCCCTTGGGATTTGGATACGGCTTTTCTGAGACGTTTCAATAATCGTATATACGTACCTTTACCGAATCGTTTCGAAAGGGTGGAATTGCTTCGGCTGTATACGAAAGACACAGTGCTCTACAACACGTTTCCTTTCTGGGAAGATCTCCTCAACATAACAGAGGGTTATTCCTGTTCAGATTTGAATGATCTAGTAAGGAATGCCTTGCTACGTCCAGTGAATGAGCTTAACGATATAAAAATTTGGAAACTCGTTGACGATACTCACTATATTCCCGTGAGTAAAGTATCGGTGGAGGAGTTCGGTGAACATTTGCGCTTCTGTAACTTGGAAGAACTGCCCGATAAGTCGGTTAGAGCAAGAGACGCAACATTGGAAGATCTCTTGGAATCCACGAACGAAGTCAAACCCACGGTGCCGTTACGCGAGATCGAGAGATTCGATGAGTACATCAAATGGCATTAATAGGATCGAGTTTTTAAGGAATAAATAACTTATAATTTCAAATACTTTTCCAAACTAAAATACTATAAAAAGTAAATTTATTACAGAACTTTTAAAACAAAATTCCACTTTCTATCTGCTCGTATGTTTTTTTTTCTTTGATCTCTTCCTTTTCACTTTAAACCATTCCGATTTTACATAACAACAAAAATAAAACGCGTTGATCGAACGAAACGAGTAAGTTTAAAGGAATGATCGGTTATATAACTTAGAGGTAAAAACTTGAGTATTCTTGTTCTTTTTTTTTAAATTTATAATCTAGAGATTATTCAATATCGGTGTATAATAATTTTCTTTTCATGTTGTGTCATAATTTTTCCTCCGAAAATATTTACAAATGATCCATCCGAAAATGAAAATTGCACCAATATTAACGTGCTACGAAATTATAATCTTTAGTTTTAATTACTATTCTCAAATGATGAACAGATCGTTTATTCACAGAATTTCCCACTAATGTGAATCTGAAAATATTGGATATAATATATTGATTAGAAATCTACAATGTTGTCAGATTGAATACTTTAGTGACAAAATCTGTATATGAAAGGAAACTCAAAATGTGTAGTCTTTACAAACAAAATAAGTGTATAAATCTTGCACAGCCCCTAAGAATTTAGTTTCAGTACAATTACAACACAATCACAATGTCTTTTTCCAAAAATTACAACAACAAAAAAACATTATTCATTTAACGAAAAATATTTTCAAACTTGCAAAATTTCCCAAATAAATATGGAAACTTGTGGTTCAATATATTTCGAAAAAGATTAATATTTTTTTTAAAAATATTGTTTTGACAATATTATATTATTATTTTTTTGTTAAAATAAAAAAATCACAGAAAGGAAATTAAAACAAATACGTTCCACTCTCTTAACATTAATCTACAAAGAAAAATAAAGGTCTACAAATGTGCAACCGGAGCATCAATTAACAAGATACTTCTAAATTCATATTCTCACTGCTTCGATTGACAATTTACTTTGTTTATAACAGGAAATATATTTACATATCTAATTGTTTTTATTTTTCTGTTTACGTCAGTGTAAATATTAATATTAATATTGAGCTTTAAATAACTTTTGTCATTTTTCTTTAAATCTTTCATATCGACAAAATAATTTCTTTATATTTTATTTTCACTTCATTCTAACTATTTCAGGAAAAATTCTCATTTGTAGGCTGAACGTTTACATTATTTGTCTTTAGGATTTTCATTACATCATAATCACTAATGCATTTTGTGAGTCGAAAGCAAAATATTGTTCATATCATTTGATAACTCTTATTAACTCGTAATAATGATCTACTACTACAAAAATGATATGTAACAAAAAGCGAAAATACATTAATGAGATGATTCGAAAACCGTAAATTTATGTTCACTTTTCAATATATCAAATAGCGAATTCAAAAATAAAATATATATATATAACTACATGTCTGTCTTTCTTAGATTAGAAGAATAAAATATTAGTAAGTCCCTCATTAATTTGAAAATTATATTTGTTTTCACTACAACATTTTGTATTGCATTTTATTTTATTAGTAATATCTAAAAGAAATATAACTTTCAAATTATTATATTAAGGTATTTAGTTGATAAATTCACGTGAAACAACTTTTCTTTTTTTTTAAATTAAATGTGTATTACATTTATTTTTTAGTTAGGTCACTTATATTTGTTTTCAACTTTGAAAATGAAAATAAACTGAATATAAGTTATTAACTTAAAAGCTACTCACGCTGTCCCTATCTTGTAAATCGTTTATTTGTTGTGGTTTAAGAGGAACTACGCTAGGCTCTAGATCTGGGGCACTGCCCCATTGGCTCATCATTCTATCATCATAGAGCGAGAATCTAGCAGCAGAGTCCTTCGCAGCTTTACCTCTTGTCCTTCTTACCGATGGAGGTACATCTCCGGGGGTTTTAATCCTTAGTGAAGGATCTTTCAGTCGCGATAAATCACTAGTTGATGAGAATACTTCAGAGAATTGTTCTAAAGATCGTTGTCTGTTTAGGCTGTCACCACGACCCATTAGCTGGCTTACGCCGGATTTGGTATTAGTCGTGTCGTTGGTCTTGATGAGAGGTAACGTCGAAGGTCGCTTTTCATTTAAAAGTGACGTCGCCACACCTTGGCCGTTAATCATTTTGCCTGGTACAATTCGTACTTGGGTATCCTTTCGTATATTAGAAGTGCTCTTCTTCCCATTAAACATCTTCCTTAACATAGTCCATGGAAATTTACCTCGCTTACTATTGGTTTGAGGATTGTTAAGCTGCTTGGGTCCGGACACCGAGTGCACGGCGTTTTGTACATAGGGTATAGGCAAAGCCCTCTGGGCTACATGGAAGTTGAGGTAATCACTCGTTACAAGGTTCTGCGACTCTGAACTGGTGCAGTGTTTCGAAGATTTGTCTATTAACAGACTGTCACTGGAATTCGTTAGAAGATTTCGCTCCTTACAGGGGTTCCTTCCCTGGTAAGGCTGTAGTGGAATTATACATGGTTGCAACTGATTTGAATTCTTGCAGTTCTCCTCAGACGGCGATAGAAGCGTTACAATGGTTCCAACTGACGCATCTATATTATGATCATGAAGATGATTGTTGTTTATCAAAGGGGTTGGACTGGATGGTGGATGCATCGGGTGTAACGCTCTTCCTTTCAGCGTCGGTAATTCCAAGAGCCTCTCTTCGACGCACAAGGAAGTCAATCGTGCTTCGGCGTCCTGCGAAAACACAGCAATTTAGAATATTGGTATAAATAAAAGTTTGATTTAATATTACCTGATCCCAACAATCCTCTGCAGTCTCGCAAAGCAACCTGGCAGCGGCCGTATCTTTCCATGTAGACGGCCAAAGTGGTCTAGCCTTATGTCGACTGACGAGGTTTTGCATTTGTTCCAACGAAGGATTGGTGCCTGCCTCCTTATGGAAAGGAGGTGCATATGGTTGCGGTTCTGTAACCTGCATATCTGTACATCTTGCTCCCAATTCCCACAGGACTAATCCCAACGAGTAAACGTCGATTTGCTTAAGTGCACTTTCGCAATCTCTAAGATTTACAGCACCTTCAAGCACTTCTGGGGCCATATAACGCAAAGTACCAGCCTCGCTTAAAGACCGATTTTCGGTGCGCCTCGGTATAACAGCTAGACCAAGGTCGCAAATGCAGCAAGACAAATCAGATTTCACCAAAATATTTCTGGTGTTTATATCCCTGTGGGCAATGCACGGTTTACCAAGATCGCTGTGCAAATGTGCCAGTCCTCTGGCCACCCCTAAGCTCATTTTACTTAAAGTCACCAAATCCAAAGTATGATTCTTCAAATACTCTTGCAAGCATTCCTGTTCCAAACTGAGTATTAAAAGGCAGTTGGCGGGACCACCCGGATTGATGCACCGCTCCCCGCCACCCAAGCATTTCAACAACGCAACATTTTCGCCAGCTTCTTTATATAAATCGTGTTCGTTCAAGAAGTAATTACGGTGATGTGGCGGAAACACTTTCACAGCCACGTCTTGATCATCAACAATGCCTTTCCAAACCGAACCATACCGTCCTTGACCTACAAACATTAACATGGATTAAAATGCGCAAATTAATATTTACCCAATTCTTACCTATAATATTGATTAACTTCAGTTTATTCAGACTGTAATCAGGAGGAGGTGGTAACGGCGGTTGACCCATCTCGATATCAGTCTTCTTAGGTTTAATATTGAACAGAATCAAAAGCATTGCGCACATTATGATTGCCACAATACAACCAATTATAATAAACGGATTTATAGTAGACTTGGGCAAAGCCTCCGTTGTAGCCGGTGATGAGGTCTCCTCGACAGGCACATATATGTCTGTGAAATTTAAATTGCACATATCACCGGTGCAACAGCAAAACTTCGTATTGTTCCATGTCCCAGAGGGTTTCTTATCAGAGAGGCAATCTTGCCTCTCGCAATCTTGAGCATTCCCCGACACCCAGCAACCTAAAAGAAGATGATCTTTTAATGCAGTTCCACCAGTCAACAATCACGCAATACACTTTAAAGGAAAAAATTAAAACGGATCGCAATTAAAAACCACGAAACGATGTCAAGTGGCCACTTCTGGTGATACGAATGGATCGTAAAAAAAGCAAATAAAAACATCAACAAAACGACATATACGTCAAGTGGATGCTACTTGAATGTTAATACTCTAGAATGTCTCTTGCTGAAAGGGAATGAACTTTCAGTTAATGATCACTTTGATAGAATACACGTTCTTTTACATCGAAGAAAATCTGTTGTGACGTATGGAAAAGCAAGATTTTTTTTTGTAAGATGTTGGCGTGCAGCGGAATTCCTTCAAATATAGGTGCGCCTATAAACCAATAACATCTATATTTCCCTGCTAGTTCGATATATAATACACTAGTAATCCCCCACCGCTCCTTACTAAATTATATTTGAAACATAGAAGATACTTAATTATATCAAATGATCACTTAAGGAAGTGCTACTCGCGATATACCCGCATAGCAATAATCGCTGTAGGTACTTTGGATTCAAACGTAATCAATAGTACCTTGTCCGAAGATAACAATTGTCCTGTTGACAGGATCCTCTTGCCAAAATGCGTAGCAATGGCTGCTTTCCTCGCATGTTGTTTCGCCAATGGTATCGACTGTATCGTGAGATCCTTCCTCGGCATCGATCACTCCAATATGCTTAGCGCATATCCTTGTCCCATCCGATTTAGCATTCTTCTGCAGGCTGACATCAACTAATCCTTGTACGCATACCAAACTCAGCAGCAGCACGAACGTTCCTCCCAGCACCATTTTAAATAATAATATTCGATCCCATTTACATCCTTATTATCTGAAACAAACAATACTAATAATTAATTAATGTTTATATAAACTACGGAATAACATCCGACTATTTAATAAAACAATGTTAAAGATTGAAAAAAACAATTAACAGTTTGGCGTTTATAAGAGATGAATTCTAGGAAACTTTAAATTGTTTGTTTTTGCTGAACTAAAGCAAGTGCAATATTTTTGCGAAGCTCTCTAAATACATTAACATATTTTTAACTAGTGCAGTAAGCGTGAACACAGAATTTCAGAATCTCAATCGAATTTTAATAATAACATGTTGAATATTATGCAGAGTTTCACTTTTAAATTTAAAATATTTAGTTTAACCGTTAATGACACTGAAAATAATCCATAGGCGAATTCCGTCGACTGCTGCACATAGATACTTAAGTGCTTTCAATTAGATTTAATTGCAACGCGCATTCAATTATATTTTTTTTAATGATTAATTGCTGCTCTATCTTTCAAATATTTCTGATGATTTAATGAGAGTAAAATGTGAGTGCTTACTTTTTGTCAAACAAAATACGTTCAGTGAACGCATCGGATTTAAATATACAGCCTGTTTTGTTTTTTGTCTTAAGATAAATTTGACAAATTTATAGAGATCATTCAATTAAATTTATTATAATATACTTAGTATGATCAAATATTATCTAAATAAGTATACAATAATTAATATTTATTATAAATTTAAAAAAATGCAGATATTTTAAGTATACAGAATAATCGCCTTTAACAATAAATTAATTTATAAAAATAAGACTACAAAAGTAACAAAAATGACTGAAATTAAGGCAATTAAAAATAAATTTTCTACATGAATATAGTAAAACAGGATAATTTTCTGTATTTTCATTGCATTTAAATCAGCTAGAGCCTCGAGATCAATAACATTGACACATATATGAAATTTGCTGTAGGTGTTATATTATTCCTTTTGCTCGTTAACATTGATGTTGTGTTAATTAGCGTTGCGTGCATACATCCAGTTCTTGCCTTTCAGTATTATATTTTATAAGTACCAATATGTCTTATACAATAAGCCACTCAGTTTCATCATCGTCTTTACATTCAAATTTCAAGTTTTTCTGTGATTTCTATATCGAAAAATTATCATATACAATTATAAAAGATAATAACAATTATTATAAAAACATAAATTTCATTTTAAGTGTTGCATTTATTAAGTCTACAAATATTCTTATACAAACGTCATATTGAGTATTTAACTAAACCTGATACTTTTTATATCACATGGTAGTGTATTTTAAACAACATACTAAATTTAGTACTGAAGTCATACTTTAAGCATGATTTATGATAACTAACATAATTATATTTTTTAAGCAATACTAAAATTATTAATTGAATCTATTGTTATTAAATTAATATGTAATAACAATGTTGCAGTTGAAGGTTAGAGGAAGTGCATTAGGAATATTGAATAAATAAATTATATACAAATAATATTAAGTGGATAAAAAGACCCATAAACAATAGTAAATTAATAATTTAATTTATTTGTGTTTACTTTCTTATTTTGATGATTATTTCAATAAACAAATTGAATTGAATTTGAAAAAATATATTTTTATTTTATTAAAGCAATTATATACAAAAGTGTTTAAATAAAAACATAGTTATCAATTAATTTGATTTGTGCATGAGTTTCTCCAAATTGTGGATGTTGAAATTATTGCATCAAATTGGTAAATTTATCCATATTGGTTAAATTATCTGCATATTCTATAGGCATCTAATCTATAAGCTGTATAAATAAAGCTACTGAAGAGACGTAACGAAATGATGTATAAAGAGCAAACAGAAAAAGGTTGATAAGAGACAGATAACTGACACATTATACAATTACAACACATGTTATTGTGAATAATACTGAGCGAGAGAGACGGAGAAATATGGATTTGCGCATGAAAAATGGAAAATACATTAATATGTATAACAAAAGACAAAGCAAATAACAAGAGAGTGCTGGCTACAAAAAAAAACAGACACACACATGAACGAAAGTTGGTCCACTGTAAACAAGGCTTTTGTTATCGATTTAATAAAGACTGAAACGATGTATAATTAGAGCAACGACAACTATCATAGAAACATCTATAAACATGTTGCAAAAAATAATAATGTAAGCGAAACAGAAATGTCTGGTATTGCCCGTTTCATCATTTCTCCCCCCATTTAATTGCTGTCACGCTTGGAACAATAATAATTATGTATGCTGCATTACCGAACGTTCAGAGCAGATCGAGGAGGAGACGTCGTATCTATCCCTCGATGTGTATCACAGTGCACCACTTGTGAACCAAACCATGCACACCTCGCAACTGGTGCGAACCAAGAAGCTTCTGATCTTCCAGTATTTATATTTATGTTACTACGACTTCTTCCCGTTTCATTTCTTCGCACACACTCGCACTGCTACTTCTGCTGCCTGATCACAACAATCGCGGCCCAGTCGCCGCCTTTCAAAGCAACGGTCACGTGACCGACCGTTTTGACAGCCGAGGCGCCACAGCCTGCCTTAGGCGCCTCCTCTCTACCTTCCTTCCACTCAACAACAACAAAAAAAACCTAAACCCCACTTGCAGCAACCAACCGACCCACCCAAGCAGCCAAACTACTTTAAAACCATTACACCCAAACCTTTTCAATACTATCAAATTTCAAATGTTTTCAACCCAATGCACGAGGAAGAAACGATTAAAGATAATGGGACGTCCGTCTGCGCATTCTTCGGACAGCTGTCGTCCGCCATTTTGTGAATCGCAGAGTCGAATTGAATATCAAGTTCCGGTTTCGTCTGCGACGAGAATTAGTATACGAGAAGGTAAGGATTACGTTAGGTTTCCTACATTACTTTTTTCGGTCTTCGGTGCGGTGATCCTTCGATCGGTCGCAAGATAATCTCGGTGAACTACTGGCCGATCCGAATGGACCGAGCTAAGACCTGCTCCGTGCAGGAATTCCTCCACTGATTACTATCATTATTACCGACAGGTACGGCGAGCAAGTTCAAGTTCTATGAACTTAAGCGCCGCATTTCCAACTCCTTATTGGCTTCCACAGCCTGCTACTTTTAAGCATTAAACTATTTGCACTTTTATGCTGCGACCGCACCAGTTCCGCATCTGCTGAACGTTTAACAAGAATGATTAATTATGCAACCAGGATTACTTATCCATTTTTTTTTGCAACGCTTTTAAATTTGCAGAATAAAACAACGTACAAGACTTATTTACACTTTACCTTTTTAGTAACAAGGTTGTTTACTATTCATTTAAGCAATAACCTTAAAGCCACCCTTCTCTCAAATAAAAACAAAACAAAATCTATTCAATTATTTTACCCAATTCTATTCACAACTTAAATGTTCACTCAAATTTAATATTAATACCTTGCTTTTGTAAGTAAAATATTGCAATGAACATTATTATTATATAATATTGTAAAGTTTTCCATTTCCGTATTTATAGAAATATTATAAACTGATAAACAATGTATTAAAATTTAATAGTAATTGTTTAAGAAAATTGAACTTGATTACTTTATATGTAAATATAAATCAATATATGAAAGTGTTAACTTTTTTTAACACATTACTGGTTTGCAGATATTTAACCTTCAGTATATATTACTATAGAACTAGAAACTTTTAAATTTTTACTTACATCTGATAATAATGATTGTTTGTATAAATATATTCGATGGTAAAATTTAATTTATAAAATGAGTATATTGTATTTTTAAATTCATAACAACCCGTCCGACCCGCATTTTTTTGAAAAGTTCAATGAAGCTGTTAACCAGGCCTCAATCCACTATCCGTGGAATATACTTTTTATGTTGAAATATGCACTTAATAATTGACGTATAACATTGTTTTGTCCCGGGATTAGGAAGTATTCTTCCCTGGACTCACCAAGTAAGACTATCTTCTGTCTTCGACCCTCCAACTAAGCTATGTTCTTTTCTCGGCCCTCTAACAAAGACTAAATTATATAATACAAAAATGTATTCATTTCAAAAAGGGTGTATTATCTAAGTTTTATAATCCTCCCGAAATATTTAAGGGAGGAAGAAGGCTGTTGAGTGTTGATAAAATAGAGTCAACTATACGATTTAATGTGTAACTGTTCTTCTGAATATTATAGAAGTTATTGTAAATAATCACGAACAAGTATCCCTTTGTATATTTGATGGATACGTGAAATAGATGTAATAATTAAGAGGAAAGTGGTAGCCCTCACAAATATACATATTAATTATACAATAGATGATAATAAAATGTTCGGCCACGACAATATTAATCTGAACAACTATTATAAAAATTAAAAGTTCAAAATTATTTTTAATTCGGGCAGAAAGACCCTATGGTCAATAGTCCTTTGTATCAGTTGACTTTTTTGAAAGTATATATATTTATTTTGTTCTATTTATTTCTGCATATGTTTTTGTACGACTGATGCAATAAACATTATTATTATTTTTAAGTTCATATATTTGTTCGCTTGATTTTTATATTTAATGACTGAAAAATATGAATTAATTTCCCGAGCAAGAAGAACTCGGTCAATAGCCTATAGCATTTAAGTGTGTGACATTAATAAGTATGAAATTTGCATGAAACTCTCTTAATATTATATTTCCTGTTACTAATTTATGTATTATATTGTGCTGAGTACACTAACATAACTTGTCTAAATCTGCCGCAAAGCACTGCAGTTTTACGCATGAAACCCATTTTGAACCAGTACCTCATACACTTCCGGTTAATTGAACCCACATTATACAATCCTGATTAAAACAAGATTCTTTCAAATTGGCCAAAATATTCTAATATCGATAATTTCAGACCGTAACAATGAACTATGCAAAACAGCTTTTAGGCTGTAGAGGTTTGCGTAACTTCTGGACCCAAAAGAAGTGAGTTTACCTATAGATTTGATTTTCTTATTCATCCATCTCTGACACTTCCGTGGTTGTTTCATGAATTGTCTTGCATTCCGGGCGGTCCCCCGTCAAGACTCGATTTTGGAAGGTATGCGTTAGTCGAACCAGGAAACGTGTCGCCATTTAAACCGGTACCGGAAACCATCGTAAAACCGGCTTACTATGTGTCCGGCGAACCAACGCCGGGGCCGGCAGAGCCTGAAATCAAAACTGAAAAACAAGTCAGCCGCATGAGAGATAGCTGTAAACTGGCCGCTAACATTTTGAAGACGGTCGGCGATTCCATCAAGGTAATTAAGCAGTCAACGGGTTCATTATTTATATCTTCAACTCGGCAATTTCCACTTTAAAATATTGTTCTTGAATTAATTCACACGCAACTGATAAATTGCCGCAATCATTTAAATTGATAAATTTTATACATTGACGTTTTTTTTATAAGCGACCTAAACTGAATCATACGAGCATATTTTTGTTGGGTATGAAATTTAATTTAGTATCACAATTTTAAAAAAATCGTTTATATCTAGAATTAATTGTATTTAATTAGCATATGCAGACAGCGCTCATTTAACGTAAGCTTGATACGTATATAATTATTTAGCTCAGTGATTCCCAAAGTGGTCTATATCGACCACCAGCGGTCTATGACAAGCTGCAAGGGGTATACGTCAGCGAAAAAAAATTTTGGGGGTCCATGAAATGAAAATGTATGTATTTACTTACATTATACTATCTTACAATATAAAGACATATGTATTATTTATAAAAGTACCTTTGAAGTAAAAAATATGTATATGTATTTATAAACATATAATATGTATATGTTTATAAAATTGCGTAAGTTGTAGGATGTAGGCTTTCGCTTTTCGCTTTGTGGTCGCAATACATTTTGAACTTGTAAAAACCTGCACATAATGATATACCAGTATCATCTTTTTACAAGCATACGCGCAGTCTCAGAGCAAATATCTTAATAATTATAAAGATGTCCCAATATAAATAATAAATTTACAAAAAATCAATATCAGGTAAGTAGGGGTCTACCCAAAACCGAAAACCATGGCAAGGGGTCTACGACACAAAAAAGTTTGGGAACCTCTGATTTAGCTCTTTACAGCCGTTTGACCGAAATAACGCACAATTATTCGTACGAACGTACAATGTCACTAGGGACAGGTATGGCGTATTCAAGTTAAGTACTTGCTTAACGAGTTTAATCCGTTCCAAAAAATGATGTAGAAGGCGCGAAATCCGGAATTTCTCTTCTCATCGTCTCATCGTTACGCGAAACATCGCACGTTATGAGAGTCATTTCCTTACAATTCACTTTGCTCGAAATGCTCTTTATGCAAGATGCTCGTTAAGCGAGGTTCTACTGTATTTGACATTTAATCAAATCTTCAAACTGAACTATTTTTTTTTCTAAAACTCTTTAGGAAATAAGACGCAGGTATAAGTGATTTAAAAAAATATTGTTGTTCATTATGACAACATAATAATAAATATGTAATATCACCAAAATTTAAAAATATATCGTACATAAATTTGTGTACGTTAAATGAACGCTGGCACTGTATTATGGTATGTGTACTTAACTTATATGGTATAAACAGAAAATTAACTGTTGATATACCAATGATGCTCATAATATAAATCATGAAATTACGTCGCGTAATTCGGTGTGAAGATGTACGTTAGGTGAACTGCAACTGTATATTTTTGTAATGCACTTTTTAAAGGTAGGCCAAACAACTGATGACATTGATTGTTTGGTTCATAAATTGGCAATTGAGAACAATGCGTATCCGTCCACGTTGAATTACAGGAATTTCCCAAAATCCGTATGCACATCGGTCAATAATGTGGCCTGCCATGGAATTCCAGACGACAGGCCTTTAGAGGATGGTGACATAATTAATGTCGATATTACTGTAAGGCAGTTTCGCTAATGATCCAAATTACTACTATACTACTATATATACACATATACTTCTCGGTGATGAATCAAAGGTACTCTATAATGGTTACCATGGGGATTGCTCGAAAACGTATCTAGTGGGCAACGTTGACAAGGCAGGGCGGGATCTAGTGCGCGCTTCCGAAATATGCCTGGATGAGTCCATAAAGCTTTGCAGGCCCGGCACAAAGTTCAACACGTTGGGCTGTTTCATAGAACAAAGGGCGTACGAGCTGGGCTTCAATATAGTGCCCTGCTTCGCCGGCCACGGCATCGGGAGCTATTTCCACGGACCCCCCGACATTTACCATTTCAGTGAATAAGCAAACAGTTGGTTACCCACAAAGCACAATATTCTAATCATGCTTTTGCAGCGAATGACTTTAAGGGCGTCATGTTATCCGGGATGACGTTCACGGTAGAGCCGATCCTGACGCAAGGCCGCAGGGAAATCGAGATACAGGAAGACGATTGGACGGCGGTGACGGTCGATAATGCACGGACTGCCCAATTCGAGCACACGATTCTCATAACCGAAGACGGTCATGAAATATTAACATTACCTTCTTGATATCCGCCTGAAATCATAAATGTAAAGTAAATAAGCACAAAACTGAATAAAAATGAAATAAGGAAAACTTCATAAAGTATTTATAATGGTATTTACAGTGTACAAGTTTTTTTTTTCTTTTCTATTTTTTCCAACTGTTACTGGGGAGCTCTCGTGAAAACAAGGTCTTAATTTTCATTATTGTTGATATATATATTTTTTTTTTGGCAATAATTCTTAAATCAAAAATTGGAATGCATATATTTCATGCTGTATTATTATTTCTGTGAGACTGTTTTCACCATAGCTCTCTAGTCGTCCGCTTTTCTTTACAGGTAATATATTTACAAAAGTGGGCAAAAAAATGCTGACATATCGTATGTACAATTTTTTTTTTCTTGAATTCCATGGTGGTCAATGTTGCCTATTTGTTTTCTTTCTACTACGTTTCTACAGATTTTCCTCACATTATCGCGCATCTAGATATATTATAAAAAATATAATTATATGTATATCATTCTTTGTACTTAGTTACGATAAGTGCCTTGAGGTATAAAATATATTGCAATGTTTCATTATTGTAATATTTACACACAAGTTTTAGAAGTTCATGTTTTTGGAAGCACAATTTGTAAATGACAACGAATATAATAAGAGAGAACAAAGGAGACAGCAAGGAAAAAGAAAATAAACTAATAAATAAGAACAAAACTAAAATAAGAAATTAATAATAGTGGCGAGGAGCTTCTCTTCTTCATATTTTTTTCTGGGATATGTCAACATTAAGTTTACTTAACTAGTAATTTTTTTGGCAATTTCATTTCTCTTTTCGTTCAAAAATAACCTTTTTGTACTATAAATAAATAAAAAGTAAAGGTGGGAAAACACAACTAATCCAAAATTTCAAGTACGACAAAATGCTTAACAAGAAAATGAAAAACTTTAATTTGCTGCAGTCAACATCGACGTCGAAGGGCGTGGAATCTTCAATTTCACAACATTAAAAAAAACAAGTACACCTATTGGATTGGTTCTTACAGTTAAGTTGATATCACTTCATTATATATATGTATATAAAAAAACGAAAATTATATATGTATCAAATAAATAACAAATAGAAGAACTTATAGAGATTTGTGCAAACGAAAGATAGTTGTGAATTGCTGCAATGAAAAATGAGATTTAAACACCAGAACATGTACATATGCAAACCTTTTTGTATAAAGAAGCCGTAGAGGGGCTTAGTTAACACAGAAAACTTGTTTGAAACACATACTGCACGGATATAGCAGCTATAGTTAATACGGTAAACAGAGACTGAGGGAGAGGGGGCGAGTGAGAGAGATCTCAAGAAATTTGGGCTTTCAACTTAGAAACAAAGAAAAATCGCCAAGGAACTGAACGTATCCCGCAAACAAAAAAAGAAAGATGTTTACAACTTTAAACAAAAAATAATAATAAAAAAAATAGTATAGAAGGTGAAACAACAAAATAATTAGTTGAGGTTGGATTTTCACGAGTCCAAACTCTCCAACCGGTCAACTTTGTATCGGTTGTAAACGGCGTAGGGCGTTCTGTTCAGGTCGTTATTCGTTAAGACACGTGTCCTATTTTGCACTACATCTTCACCACGCCCCATCAGCCAATCCGTGCACTGTTTGCTCTGCGATTCACTCACGTTAACTGACACCCACTTTTTACACCAACTGCGAAAACGGTTCGCTTTAAATTTCGTTACCGAGGGATGACTCTGAAACAAAAAGAAAAAAGAAATAAAAAATCAAAATTCCCAAAAACAAAAAAAAAAGTAACGAGTAACGAGGTCAAGTTTTTGGGGGTTCGCTTCAAATAGTGAACATCAGAAGTCAAAAACACACTTCACACTTGTTCATATTTTTGTCAGCGAACTGAAAATTGAAAATAATAAAAAAAAAACGCAAATAAAAAAAAACAAATACAACACAATAAACAAAACAAAATAACAGATGAAGTTTTAAAGAAAAAAAAGAAAAATGTTTGGATGATGTGACGTAATGTTGAGAAGCGTTAAAAGGAAAACAAAACCATAAGTATAATAACTGAACATAACAAAAAATAATCAATAATATAATCTAAGCAAATATAAAAAAGGTAATTGTAATTAGAAAAGTACAACTTTTATATTCTTTTTATTAATTATAATCATATTTACAAGGAAAAAGATACTTGTTTGTTTTCTTCTTGTTTTTTTTTTTGTAAATTCATCTTCACTTTTTTTTATTTTTATTCTCTTTTCATCATTTCATATATAAATAACATTTTTGTTTGTAATAATCTCTCAATCTTTCACATACTCTTCCACAACCAAAAAAATCTCACAACAAAACAAACTATTTTATATATACACAATTGTTTCGTTAAAAAAAGTTTAAATAAATCTTTTAAATATTTAAAAAAAAAAATTTAGCCTAAGAAACTCGATCTCATGAAGTACAAAATTTAGCCTATAAAAATGTTTCATAACCCACCCTTGGCTACTATAAAAAATATATATATATATATTATACATTTAAATCAAAGAAAATAAAAATATTGCACTAAACATAAAGACAGAATAATGGTTAAATAAAATTAAAATTATATATATATATTACATATCGTTTCATATTTAAGCACAAAAGAGAAAAAAATAATACAAATACAAATATATAGCATATATTTTTCCTTTCCTTTTTCTTTTGTTTGTTTATATAATCATATTATCAAAAGGCAGCCTAAACGCGAGATCGTGACTATCTCATGAACACAAAAGTTGTTGGAATTCATATTAATTGCTTTTCGTTTCGTAAATAAAGATGGTTCATAAAATTAAAATAAAATAAGTTTCTAGAATGAGGAGGAAAGTATAATGAATAATAATAATACACAACAGCATGTATAGAAAATGTAACTCATCAAATGGAAGCGAAATTAAGTCTGCAAATAAACATCGAACTTTGTTCATTTTTTTTTCATATCGTATAAATGAAAACAGAGAAAGAAAAACGGTTCATGAACATTGGATTGGAGTTTGCCATGCCAACAATGAACTGAAATACTGATTGTTCGATTGCGTTAAAAGCGGTCAATTAATAATAAATGTTTTATAACTTATGTGAATTCTCAAAAATAACAGAATTCATAATTAAACGGTCTACTTAGATCACAAGGTCATTTGCTCGTTGTTATTATTGAATGTGATTAGTTGATTAGTAGTACTTGGACATTATTAACATTATGCAAGACGTGTAAACTTATAACTTACATTTTACAGTAGATTCATTATTTCAATAATTACTATTATTACAAGACTTATTATTTTTGTCTTCGTAATATCATTATATGCAGTAAATCTATAATTAACAAATGAAATACGAGACGAGTTTACCAATAATCTGAAAGGTTAATGTTTAACCTTTTGACAAAATTAGTTATATCCTAGCTTCTAACGAGATTCATTCAATTGCCAACAAATTTGTATTGTTCTTTAAAGTATAACGAATATCGTTTTTCTTTTCAAATTAAAACAGTTCTATAAAATTTTAATTGATTACAACAGTAATTATTGCGAAATCTATTGTTCACGTTATTGCAACGATTAAAATTACAAGTAAAAACATTTTCAATTCTACGAAGACAATTACCGAACAAGTAGACATCATCGAGCATTGACGCATGCAAATGCACGTCATGAACGTACTTTCATATTAATTAAGAAACAATCTTGCATAATCTTAATCAGGAAAATAGCTATTTTTCTTTCTCTTGTTTGTGATGTATTAATAAATGCTTTGTTGTTAGTTAAATCAAGAAGTATTGAAATCATTATTAAAGAAATAAAAGTAAAAAAAAAGTATTAAAATTAACTTACTTGTTTGGCTCTGGTCAAGGCACTTCGTTTATACAGAAAACTGTCTTTATTAGCTACATATACAATTTTGGAATCGGCAGCATTAAATCTGCACTGGGTCTCGTCGGATACATCGTAGTCGCGGTGTTCGGTTTGGTCGCGCTCCGGAGGCGCCCTCTGATTGAGTTTACGCTCTAGCTCTTCCTCGAGAGAGTTCAGCCTCTTATCCCCGCCGTTATTGTCGTCCTCACCAACACCACTTCCACCAACACTACCTGAACCGTTTTTATCGTTACACGCGACACTGTTTCGCCGTTTGCCACTGTTCTTCTTATTATATTTTCTCATGTTCCTGCTGAGGTACAAAGGCAAAGATGGCTTTGACTCTACGTTCGTACAGTCCGCGTAGTTTTCTTTATAGGTGCTCCATTTCTTAGTCTCCTCGAATTTCTTGAGCTCCTCAGTGTCGGTGTCGATCATTTCGATTGTCATTCGACCGTCACGCTTATAAATATACAATTTGAAGCAGTTCTCATCTTGAACTGCCCTCTCTATTGTGTGTTGATACATGAGTTCCTGATGCAATCGTCGGTGTGCCGTCGCACACGCTCCTCCGCATGAGCCCCGCTTTTGTTCCTTCTGGAAGACCTCCATACACGTGATGGCTATCCTCTCCGACACGCAATGCTGCAGCTGCCGCACACCATTCGACACAACCTTGTCCAATGTGAAAGCGATGTAGGCATGAATTCCGAACATCTCCCGTAAGGTGTCTTCGTAGGAGTTGGATTCCATGTTGCCGTCGAGCAAATTTTTAACCATATCTAAAAATGCTGGGTAGTATGACTCGACTTCTATTTGAGGTTTTGGCTTCAGGCGAAGGGCAACTGCTGTACTCTCTCTCCTGCTGGTCTTTTGCTTCCGCTCCTCTTCGGCTAACTTCACCGCTCGGTCGTAGATTTTTGCCAAACGTTCGCACAGAATCGCATGTAGTCGAAGAAACAGATACCAACTATTGCTCGCCATGAAGACTGTATAAGATTCATCCTACAAATAAATAAATATTAATATATATTTTAAAAAATATTAAATTAAATACTTTGATAGTTTATATTATTTTTTTATAAAATGTATTTATATAGATACACAGCAGACAATGACTTCTCAATAAATACATCGCATAATCTTAAAGCAATAAATTACGTTGACGTCTCGACGATAAGTTACAACACCATAAACAGTCCTTTGTTTTAGATGCAAACCTCCACGCTTCATTAAACTATATTATTTTACTGCGGCACATAACGAATGAACGTTGCAACGTTGCTTTTAGGTTCTACTTAAGAAACATGATTACACTTACGGGGTCAGTTGTTTGGGCGTGCAGTGGAACTTTAATGTCCTCTTCCTTGATATCGATCAGCTCCTCGGGTTTAATATCAACAGTGTCCGAAGTATCACCGCCGCTAGCTCGGACAGGTGATTTACCAGGACTTGAATTTCCTTTCTTCTTCACTTCTTCTTTGCTAGACGAACTCGAATTGGGACTTTCGTTTCCTTCTTCCTTGTCATCTAATTGAAAAAAAAAATAATAATTCATTAGAATAGGTGTTACTAAAGTATAGTAATAAAAAAGAAAATAGGATAATGTCTTACCATCATCTTCTCTTTCGTCGTCGCTAAGTTGCTGACGCGGATAGAAAAAGAGGTCGGGTACGAATTGTCGCAGAATATGCTTAATCCTACGTTTTTCGCCCTTTTGAACTCCTGTCTGCCTCTTAACATGATGGATGAGAAGATTGGCAGCATCATCAAGAATGGAGCGATCACGGTAGACACACACTAAATGCGGGCCAACTATGGGATCGATTTGACCTTCATCATTTTGTTCATTTCTCTGAAAAGAAGCAAATAATTATTACCGTGCATACTAAAGATAAAAACATTTTTAACTTACTTCTTCAAAAATCGTTTCTATTTCTTGAAAGAGGCTCTTTGAGCGAAAAGCCTTTGTGTCATTTTGTTTAAAATTAATGCCCTGATAATCAAGACTTTTCAAATAGTGCTTTTCATTTTGCTCTCGCCAGATCTTATTGAAACCCTTCTGCGCTTCTCGCCACTCTTCTTCCTTGGCTTTGAGCCGTCGCAGCACCACTGGTACGGCAACTGCTGGATTTCTTTTTAAACCATCTATGATATCTTGAGCTTTCTCTCCATAGATTCGCCGGAGAGCTTTCTGGTGGAGAATCGGCGAAGACCCGCCAAGACAATCATCCAGGCGATATTTGGCCACGTCCTCAGCATTCATTCTGTTCAGCTTTTTAGCAACGCCTTCCAAAACTCGGATGGTCGACGCATTTGTTTCGATAACCACGTCTAATTCAAATCGCTCGTCTTCGCACCTGTACATGTATTCTTCGTATTGATTCTTTCGTGAACCAACGAACGAACTATCCTCCGACCATGTCGGAAACGAGACCAACTCATTGTTAAGAACATCATGGCACAAATCCGTCCATCCAGAAAACGTAAGACCCTTTTGCGATGGAGGAATTACACAGTAGCTGGCGCCAAAACGTTCAGCCGTCGAGTAATCAACGTCATGGACATGTTCCGCGCCCAGAGGCCGGTCAGGTCTTGCGTTGCTGTTAAAAGATACGGGCTCAACGTCATGCTGACCGACAAATTCACGAAACCAACGCATTAATTCCGGGAACTTACTCAAAAAGGGCATTACTAATTGCACCAGTTCGCTTTTAGATACGATCTCGTTATTGAATAAAGTTAGCAGCCTTAAAAAATTGTTGTAAACGTCTTGAGATCGAAGCGCCTTCCTCACCTGTGAAACAATGGATACAATAGTTAATAATATGTTTCAAACGAAAGTCTATTAAAGAATTTACCTTGTCGAAGAAAGCATATTCATTCAATGTACCATATTTTCCTGCTTCTGCTAATGTGACGTCCCGGCACGAAGACATTTTATGCTTCTTTGGAGGCGGGGCCTCCCTTATGGTGCTCGGGTAAGGCGGCGATCTTTTTACCTGCACAGACATATGACCAGGCTTATGGGACAGATGCCTCTCCGGAATGTGATCTCTGTACGATTTACTTGTTTGCAGAGTCTTTTTAACATTGGAGCTTGGCATATGATCAGAAAGCGGCGCTGGTGTAATGTGACTAGTCGCGTCCGGCAAAAATTGCCCAAACTCGGCCAAAAGGTCACTCTGATTCTCAAATAACTTCGCCACTTGGCTATAAACTTCTTGCTCGGTGAGATGTTTGCCTCCTCCGCTTGAGCTCTGGGATGTTTCCTTTAGGGTTCGCTGTTCCTTTTGGTACGTGTGAAGAATCTCCAGAAACCGCTTGTACTTTTCTGGCTGTGATTGGAAGCGGTTCTGTGAAAGAAAAATAAATATTGTTCAATGTTTGCGCGCGAAATTAAAGCACTACTTATAACAGTGTTTCCAATATGTTGATACCATTGTGTTGACACAAGATAAGCAGAACAGTAAGTACAAAAAAATCAACAACGTGGATTTGTTTCGAAACGAATGACTAACTCCTATTACATTTGTCTGGCACATATTCACGCAAACATATAGGCGATTTCCTTGATTAACCAATTGTTTTTATTAGATACAAATCAATAAATACATTTCCGATGTAACCCAAATACTAATTACGTCCAATTAATTATATGGAACCTAGCTAGATAATTATAATCACAATAATATTCAAATTAAATTATAATTAATTATCCATAGATGATAAATCCATCCTTGACATTATATAATTCGTAATTTTCGGTAAATGTTTAGTATATTTCGAACGACATAATAGACTAATTAAAGTTAAATACTGTATAAACAAACTTTATAATTATAAACGTAACCTATGACATTCCTAAAGATAAATTGCAAGCATCTCGCTACGAAAACACACTACAAATCTTTAAATCTTTGTTTACATTTGTAAAAAAAAGTCGTTCACATATTACATAACGAATGTCAGTAATATACAGCCGTTATATTTGCAATTCATTATATTATTAATAGTAAAATACTGTTTACGATGAAATTACATTTCTATTTGCAGTTCCTTCCAAACGTAACGCGTACTAATAATATTCTTAAAATAAAACGTAACTTAGAAAGCAACAAACTGCCATTCACAAACATTGTCAAAACGTGTTTTAAAAACCTTGAAATAGTTTTCTCCAAGTATTTTTAATTTTTGCGCAACAATTATTCATTAAAAATTGATATTTCAATACATATCATGTTTTATATATTTATATTCAATAAAAGCATATCCATATTGAGTAACTTTTTTCTGAAGATCATTGTATATTTATAGCTCGTCTCATTTGCATTACAGCTCCGTATCGTGATTCTACTTGTTTCCCACTTGCAGAACGATGGAAAGCACTTTCGTCATACATTATTCAAATGTGCTGAACTTATACTCTTATTTTTAAGTATAAGTTTTATATCATTTTACTTACAGAAATACATAACTGTTGAAGAAATAAAGAACATGACGAACAACGTAATAACGTCTGTTTAATCTCGCACTAGCCGATCCTAGAGGTTAACTTTCCATTTATGCGTGATCTGCGTATAAACTTACTTACATTTGGCTAACTAATATAGAGAAAATTAAGTCGATGGGAAATAAAAGTAGAATTCGCAGTAGAATTCATTTTATTATGAATCACGACTTTGTATTCGATTGCTGATTATTTAATTATCAGTATCATTTAACATTATTGTATTATAGTAGTCAAAAGTAATACCATATAGTGATTATAATTTAAATCATTTTAAACTATGTTCTACTTCAATAATATTATTAGATTATGTAATCATTTGTTTAGGTCAGTCAAAATATATTTGATTGGTCTAAATATATACTATTAATACATAGATAACAATTTTATCGAATTCTAAATCATTTGTTTTGTCCATTATTGACACGTACTTGAATATTATCATTTTCAGTTGGAGCAAAAACTGAAGTCAATAGCCATTATATTCAATTTTAGTATTATTATTTTATGAATATTAAGAATCTGCAGATAAATTGATCTAATAATTCATAAACTTTAATTTATAATTATAAATAAATTAATTATAATATTAGATGAATTTTATTTTGGTATGAAATTAAAAATAGAGTGCTGCTGTAGTTTAAAGTAAATTTAGGTGTAGTAGTTTGGAAAGTATTGAATGGTATTGTTGAATTTCAATCGAAAAGCAAATAACTTGTTCATTGTTATTTCAAACAGTGGCTTCAGTTTGGACAACTACTGATTTAGCCTATTTGTATGCTCATCATGTGGAGATGCACACACATATACACAATGCTAGTTTTTTTTTCTATGAACCTCAGGAAAGAATAACAAGCAATTCTTTCACAAAACTTTTCACAAACCATACATTCTTCAAATGCAAATAGCAGTGTATTCAATCGAGTTATTATATTCATATAGGAGCGCGCACATTTGAATAGAGTTCAATGGATCTTTACCTTTATTTTGTTGACGTAGTTTATGGCATGGTTGAACTCGACCGGCTGATTTTGCGGGGTCTCCACGTGACCGCCTTGAAGGGCTTGTGTGACGGCAGCTTGGGCGGCAGAAAGTGTTAGTGCGTTGTGGGCTGCTGTCGAATTGTTGTGAATGTTTGAGGTAGCATTGTATCCGGAGGACGAATGCATAACGGGAGTGTTAGTAGGTGCTTGGGGCGGCACCGTGGTGGTAACGTGGGACGATATTATAAGGGGCTGTTGTTGTTGCGGCTGCTGCTGCTGCGGTGGTGGCTGAGGTGGTGGTTGTTGCTGTTGTTGCTGGGGTTGCTGAGTGGGAGTAATGGGAGATTGGCTCATACTGCTGATGCTGCTACTCATGTTACTACTATGTATTATCGTTCCAGAACCGCTCAGTATCATGGACGGCTTTTGGTGCTGGGGATCTGACATCAAAGTACCAGTTGGACTGGGAACACTCACAGACACCTGATAGTCATATCCACGCTCGTTCCTCTGCACTTCGATCTTGTAGCCCGGGGGTAAGAAGGTATTGAAACCAACAATCAGCTCCGGGTAACCTTTGAACAGGTTGGACACCCTTTGGATCACGCCGGGCGTGTCAATCGATTGGCTTTTAAACTCTTTCATAATGTCCAGAAAGTCATTGTACACTTGGGGCTTGTCGTTGAATTTAAATTTCACCATGTCTAAATAAGATAACGCGTCTTCGACTTTGAGACGTTGAAAACTGTTGCCGGGAGACTGCTGTTGCTGAGGGCCCTGCGGTGGGGCAGTGGGAGGCGAAGCGCCCTTAGACCTGACCTGCGAGTGGCCGCCCATCGCCAAGGGCTGCATAGCCTGGGGTTTGCCCGCGTGGGGCGCCGCGACGGCTGGCATCGCCCCGTAATTAACGGTCGGTGTTGATGAATAGATGCCCGACTGCATTCCCTCCGCCACTACCTTCACTGTCCCTGCACTCGTGAACGAGAGCCCCGATGACCCCGTCGTATTTGGCAATGATGAACGATACAGGCTACTTGGAGGTCCGCTTCCTTCCTTTACTGTCTCGTCACGCAAACGTTTCATTTCAAATCACATTTGAACGGCTAAAAACAAAAAGAAAAACAACTCATTACTAACCTAATATCATCAAAACTAGAACTAATTTTATACTAAAAATTACCGCATTAATTCACATTACATGTTGTAACTTAATTAAAGCCATTAATTAGCAGGCATTCAATTTTAATTTTCAAGAAATTTGAATCCTGACAATAACTTTATAAAAATGATAGAAAAAAATAAAAAAAACCAATATGTGAATTCATTTCATCATAGCACAATAAAGCTAATGCGGAAGTTATGGAAATTCTATTAAAATTACCAGTAACTATAAAACCAATTGCAATTAACTTTATATTACATACCGTGAAGCAATTGAAGATCATATTCACTTTTTAAATAATTGAAAATTAACTTTAACAATACTTTCATAAAAATGAAGTTATATGTACAAAGTACAACATCAACTATAAAACAAAATTCATTTAATTAATATTAGAAGTTGAAGGTACAAAGTACATAATAAAAAAAGAAAGCAATAACTGGAGATTAGCCAAAAGAGCACGTATTAGAAATTCGAAAATAATTGAATCATGTACTATCTTTGTTTGAATTACTTTAAGTTGAAATTTGATTGTACATTCGTACTTACTATAGTAATTTATAAGTGAATATTCTGGTATGATTTTGGAATTATGACAGAATATTTGTAATTATTATATCAATCTTAAAAATAATGCCCATGAAGATAAAACTGAAAATTCAGCAGTCCAATAAGAATCTAGTTCATATAATAAGTTATATATTATAACAAGATTTTTTAAATTTATGTAAGAGCAAAAAAATAGTTAGAAAGAACACATTTGTCGCTAATAAAGATAATTTATTTAGTTAAGCAGAAAGAAATAATTGAAGAACGAAAACAAGTAGCAACTTCCGATTTGCAAATTGCGTTGGCAGTATTGTAAGACTTCTTGCAAATCGAGTGAAAGGCAATGAGCAAGATGAGTCATTGCCATTGACGCATTGAAAATTTGCCCACGCGTCCGAAACCGCGGAGATGCTGCTGATCAGAAAATAATTTTTGAAAACGTAAAAAATGTCATCGTAGGTATGCGAGAGGTTTAAATGGTAAAGAGTACTCGTCGAGTTGCGCTCGCACAAATACACAAAAGAGTTATTTATCGATCCAGTTAGCTTATTTTTACGCAACATGCAGTCGCGAGAAGTGGAAGCAGCAGCCAGAGCACCTCTTTCCACACCGGTTTTCGGGAAGAGGAGGCGTGGTGGCGGGGGCGGGATGTGACCATCCACCTATCTATCCAACAAGGATACCGGGAGGCGCGCAATAAAAAAGAAGAGCTTGCCGTGCGGTGTGTGTGTCTGCTTCAGCTGATCCGACACGCCCACGTTTTTTCAGACGTAAACAAACCGGCGGCGGAGGTAAAGAGAGAAAGGCTGATCTCTGCAGATCGGGCAACGTCGCGTCGTCTCCTTTAACAACAACGCAATTAGAAGAAGCGTTAACAACAATACCGCGATTTCTAAATGATCAGCTGGTTATGATGGGCAATTGCGGCCGCCCCGGTATTTTTAGAATGCCCCGCGACTTTTTGTCCGTTCAGAGGACGGAAATAGGCCTGTCCAGATTTTCATTGCGATGATGGTCCCTCTTTCTTGGGCGGCGCTCAGATCTCGTTACGCGCCTACAAAGTTGGGCATTGTGTTGTTGGGCTGCGCAGGTGGAAATCGGCGAGAGAAACGTGTGTTGTTGTAAACTGGTCCGAAACATTCTCTCTCCACGACCGAACAGGTTTAGTTAGACATATGTGTATGTGTGCGAGTATGGCTGGGTGCTATCTACTAGTTTGTGCCTGTGTGAAGAGTCGTCCCCTGGAGCAACTATGGATGGAGAAATATCCCTCGGATCGTTACTGCCTAAAAAAAAGGATACGGGGAGATCAAAACTTACATACGGCCTCCTCTTGCGACAGCATCATGTATCCGGCAAGTGATAGCTAGCTGCGAGGAGCGCAACAAACAATCCGCGACACAAATATTTAATGGCGCAATACCAATGAGATGCCATATCTGCCTACTAGCAGCACTCTCTATGTGGTGAACCCGGTCGGTGCCAGACCGGTTAGAATACCTCGCACACAACGCATGGGAGCCAAAGAGTAGGCGAACGGCAACGTCGCCGCCTGCCCTCCACAGACCAGGACCGGCCCCGCCTCCCCCAACAACGGCGGCGACGACTACGGCGCTGTTGCGACATTTTCCCACCACCGCACGGCGAATCCCGCGCAACTTCCCCTTCGTTTATCACACTTTTATCTTTAGAACTTTAACCGCCAAACCTTCCATACTATATCCAAACAACACCGGTTATTTTGGCCAGCACCGATTACAATATCCATCCAGATAGAAGATTGTATACCACCACCTTTCTGGTACAATGTACCGTGTTATGGCCTCGATCTCTCTCTCTCTTACTCACACTCGCCTTTCCCAAATACAGTTCCTAATCATAAGCTCTGCTATATAGCCACAGGGAAGTGGGTACAATGAAAACAAAATATACCGTAATAACCGACATTAGTAAGTAACGTACGCACGATGCTAAAGCATGGTCATGAAATTACCTGGTTTCACCTAAAACTCATGCATATGAATCGCATTATGTAACACTTCCTGTGTTACTTTTTCGCGCGAAGGCGGTCTTAACCTGTATGATTTAAGTATACATTCTATGATTTAGCATTAACATTCTAATTGCAACTTCCAATTCTCGGATTACATTTTCTATTATATTTTATATGCCACTACGTATAAAAAATATTAATCCAAAATTCTCAACGAGATAACACCAACAGCTCTTTAATAAAAATTAAACATTATCTCAGACAGGTTAAAAAACTTGAAACGCGAATGGCCTTCAACTTTGTGTAATGTGCGATTAAAGGTCAAGATCTATAGAAGTAACCATTTTCCATAACAATTGTCAATTGATCATCATATGTTACAATATTTACGTGTAGTATAAAGACTCATTACTCGTCTATATTCTTATATTGCCATTTTACACATCTAGAGTTGATAATAATCACTGTGAAATTCATTTAACTATTGTAACTTATCAAACTTTAACTTCCTTACTCCTACATTTCTTTGAATGACCGACAGACGTTCTTTGTAGCTAAAACTTACTTTTCTAAGTTTAAAAAATAATTTTAATATTGTTATGTTATTTATTGTTATAATATGTTAAGGATCCCTTCCATATGTTGCTTATCTTTTGTAAGAATGTATTTATTGGTGAAATGAAAAGATTTATATTATTATGAATTAGAACTGCATCTAATCCATTCGACATGGAACGTTAAAAATATGAAAGTTATTTTAAGAATTATCTTAATTGTTTGTACATTTTTGCCTTCATACCTATATAAATGCAATGTTTGAACAATTCAATCTCTCGCAATTCCACGGATTTTAGAAATCGATTATAAAACAATATCCTTCCCCGATCGATTAGGATTTCACGCAACGGCGGCTTTTCTGATTCATCGCCGCACATTGTAATTTCTTATTACAAGAAGGGAAGAATGCAATTACCGAGAGGATGTCATTTCGCACTGCAACTGGGATTCACGGTATCGGCATCCGCCTAAAAACGGAACTGCCATTCGATTGATCAAATAAGAAGGAAGAGCATTAGACTCGTCGCAAACGCATGAACGTCAAAAGATCTAAATTGGCAAAAACTATAAATAAACTTACCGACCATCGACAAAGAGCTAGCTTAATGACCTGAACCGAGGCAGCGTCGGTAATTGCAATCTGAAGTCTATTTCATGCTCAGTAGTGAAAGAACAAAAGCGTGGAAGGTCGTCTTTGAGCAGTAGACGAAGGGATGGATTGTACTTATTAGCAGCAGGTTTTGATGAGTGGAAGCATTTTTATTGATACACGGATTGAAGTGCCAATTAGAATGGAAACATTTGTCCTCCAACAAATTCCGATTTATAATACGTTCTTCCCCAAGTGCGCTTTCCAACTCGCACAACGGAGAAAAGGTCGAGGACTTCGCAAGAACCTAAAGGAAATTCTTGTGAAAAACACTGCAACAGACGTAAAATATATTTGTTGTTGTTATAAGTGTGGAATTTAATAATTTATTAAATTTGTTGTTCGATAATCATATGACTAGTCTTTTGAAGCTTGCGGCGAAAACTCCTTTGAGCTACGCTTAAAAATAGCAAATAACTGTCACTCAAACGCACGCACCAACAACTACAGTATTTGGTTATACTTTTTAAACGATAGAACGAACCAATAAAGTTGCTCGGAACTTCTATGTTGTGGGCATTAATTCCAGCTGCATGCCGTGCTACCAAGCTAAATAATTAAAATAATTAATGGCTAATTGAGTAACCCAACAGGCTGTTGACTTTGGAGTAAATCCGGCTTACTGTACGTTTAATACTCACTCCTCGGATAATTATTATCGGAAGCTCTCGCAGTAAAATTATTTTTGTAATAAAAATAATAATAACTTGCACGCCGGTTGGTGTCCATGGAGTAAACTGATATTTCACAAATATAAAGATACTAATGATGATGATTTGATACATTAAATTGAAAACCTACTAAAATATATATTAGAAACAACTGCATAACCTTTGCCAACTGGTCTTAAAGAGAATGGCGCACTAGATGAATGGAGACAATTTGCTAAAGTATCAAGTTATCACACTTCATAATATAATTGATTGAAGGAAATAAATTCTCCTTAATAAAATGTAAATGTTTATTTTCATTTCTTGTAGACACACGTAGAAAATAATCTTTTTGAAAATTGTATTTACTACTTCCAAATTGGTATAAATTCAAGGATTTTTACGTAAACAACATTCGGTACTTGTAACACACTTTACCATACCCTGGCTATTTTCATACCAATAAAGGGTGCGATACCTTTGATCCACAAACTAAGAATACATTTTATTATAAACGTAGTGTTATATTTTGTAGCCTTTGGACAATTGAATAAACACGAGTGTTTAATATTTTAGTACCTTATTCCATATATAGTAACCTTCCGCAATGATTTTCCGGATGTAAATTTGTCAATAAACTGATAACAAACTTACTTATCTCATGGAAATTCATATTAGTTTTGTATAAATGATTAGATTAGAAATAAAATGTATATCAAGTTTATCTTGAATTTGAACAATAGCATTAAAATGAAGAAATTATATAATAAAATTTGGTATATTTTAAATCGATTTAATTCTAACAAATTGAAAATAATTTGCATTCATGATAATTACAATTCATTCATTATTCTTGACAATTATTTTTGTTGACTTGCATTTACAAACATTTGTTATTTACATTTAAATATCCATAACAAGAAATTTTATAAATATTTAATATCTGAAATAAAAGATTATCTAAAAGATTATTATTATCTACTTCCCAATTGAGTACACCCCTACAATACTTTGTACAATAATTTGATATAATTCAGTATATCCGAGTAATTTCAGTTTTTGTGTTACCTTAGATAACAATATAAAGTATTTAGATTACCGATGATTGTGAATTAAAGTGCAGAAGCGAGTATTTATAGAAATATAGGCAATGCTTTTTTGTGTTTTCCTTGTTGAAATTCAATAGAAACTCCATTGGAACCCCGCAGCATATTTCATGGAATATTGATTTGTACTACAATGTGAAAAGAAAAAAAAACAGGTAGGAACAGTTCAAAGCCATTCATGCAAGTGAACAAAAAAAAGTAGAGGAAAAATAGTATGCAGATCCCAAATCCCATTACAGCAACTTTTACTAGCTTTCTCTGATCAAAAAAAGTAATAGTATACGTTAAATTCATTCAAAGGCTAAAAATAACTTTGTAGTTATTTTTAGACTAAGTAAATTAAAAAAACTGGTAGTGACCGTTCAAATAATTTTATAATTCATGTGCTATAAATGAATCAGATTAAACTTACTACGTCTTTTATTTCGGAAATAAATTCCTATAACATTTGGTTGCATAAAAGGCAACTTCTGAGAACTCTTCTATATACCAATAACGTAGTAGTAGGTAGATGTAATAATAAAAATACGAATTTGTAAATCAAGCAGATACAAATGTTATTGAATTCTCTCTTACATAACTCGGAAGCCGTCGAATCCCGACTTGCAATCAAATATTTAACAGGACGTTGCAGTTTTATTGTCGGATTGTGCAAACATTCGGTAAACTTAGGAAAGCAAACAATCAACAATAGTTATAATTGATACAACGTAAAAATATATATAATATGTAGGCACTCAGTAAAATAAGGTATAAAATGAACAAACATACATTAAGGAAAGGCCAGCTGCAAAACTCAGTGAACCAAAGATGCGAGTCTGGATTTTCCAGACTTCGTGCCACTATTTTATAGCATGTACACAGGTATATTTTAATAATAATTGAATGTTAGAAAAAACATGATACAGTTGTTTAAACAATGAATCTGTATATGAAAAATAATTCATAACGTAACAACAATAAAGTATATTTACTGTGGGATCTTATAGGTCTGAATTGTGGTAGGCGCCGGATGAAACTGAAAATGTATTGTATTTAAATTTAAACGATTTAAATTGAAGACAAAGGTTTGAAATATTTACATACAAATAAAATCTAATATTAAATAATATCAATATAATTGATAGATTAACAAGATTAATTATACCAATTACAATAATAGTAAACAGTACTAAAGATGAAAAAACCTCCCGAAATTGAACTGAAGGAAATACAAATATATATTTATTTAAAAAAATCTTTATTAAGGAAAAATAACTAGATATATTATCCCTGAATTTTTAAAATTCAATTTCAAAGTGATAGTTTATAAAATTAAATAAAGAACTATAAACTTGTAAAGACAGGTTTAATTTTATATTCAACATCACACGTATGATGATTCACTTAAAGCCAGACCAAATTACTGTAACGAAAATTCCAGATTTTTATGACTAGACATGAAAGTTACACGAATCTACACAAACAATATACAACAATTGGTATCTCTAAGAAGCAAAACTTTAATAAAAATAATTATTAAATATTTCATTGTATAATTTTATTATCAATAAAATCAATAATTTTAATATTCAATAATTTTTACGCAAACTATTAAATCATCTTTAAGTAATATTTCACAATATTTATACAGCATAGTAGTGGTAAACTCGTTATGAATTGTTATTTATCATTTGCAATTAATTTTTTGGATTGTACTAAATGCAATTAGTTACTGGAATGGAATTCCTGGTTCACTGGCCTTATACAAAATTAAAATTTTTCCCTTGGTAGGATATAATCTTACATACAAAAGAAACTTTCTTATAGGAATCCGGCAAAATGTAAATATTCCAGTTTTTGAAATCATATTACATGTAGCTTCGAGGGGAGCCACCCCTCTGATTACTGAGAGAGGGAGGTGGTTTAAAGGGAGCATGAATATCAGCTGATGAAGTAGTAAAAGAATGAAATTCCTGTTACAGAAATAGTGAAGAAACGGACAAAGCAAATCTATAAATATTAGTTGGATTCTCGTTGAATATTACCAGAGTGGACGATTTTGAAGTTTCTTTTCCTTCACGTTAATTATTTATAGAATCTGGAAATTCTTAGCACCACTGGCGGCAATGATTTATTGCAAAAGTTAGGTTAGAAAGTAACGTATATAATATGAAGACGCAAAATAACAGTACTAAATTAACGTGTTGCGTCATTCGAAGAATATTTTTGGTATCCCACTAGAAGAGATCCGCGATGATTGTGCATCATATATAAAATACATAAGTATTGCTTTGAATGATCTGTATTTGTTTGTTGTTTATTTTTGTTGGTGTGTGTATTTTGGATGTAGTACTACGAGTTTATAAAAAAAGAGGTGTACGCTGGAGAAGGCAGGGAAAAGAATTTGTCATCGGGCGGGAAATGCGCGAGGCGGCAACCGTGCGTTTCTGGTAGGCTCCCGCGATCGCGTACTTGGCTCGCGATTGGCTGTGAACTGAATCGATTGAAAGAACGGCTGGGAGGGAAAAGGACGCATACCGAGGTGCAGGCGAGGTTGTCAGATCGTGCAGACCGTTAGGATCAAAATCGCTTGCCTTCGCTCTCCGTAAACAAATACAACAGGAACCGCACTGCACATCCACGCGAGAAAAATATATAATCCAAAAGGACTAGCCAACAAAAAAAAAACAGGATGACATTGGACGATTCCTATAAGAATCCCATAAAGGAAAATTGTTTACGTTTTTTTTGGTAGGTTATGAGTTTCCAACTTTTTTTTCTCTCCGTTCACGACGTTGGCCATTTAACATGTGTTATGGGGGGGAATCTTGTAAGCTTACATAATGACGGGGAAAATTGGTGATTCGGCTAGGTGCAGCGCCCCCCCGCGCAATCGATTTTGCAAAACTTGTCCCAGTGACACGAAAAAAAAACTTCTAAATTCCATCGCAGAAATTTAGAAAATCACCGGAACAGAGAACAACAAAAAATCAACGAAAGACGAGAGCAAAGCAAAAAAAAAAAGAACGAAGATCGTTGAGAGAGGCAACTTCGTTAACCCAGTTGCCAAGTGTTCATAATACAAAATCATGCTATCTTTTATAACACGCTGCGCACGGTTGCCAGGTCGAAATATCCGCAACGTTGCGATTACAACAAACAATGCCAAAATTGGCATTAAAAAAAAATACGAAAAAAAAAACGAACGAACGGTGGGAATAATGAGCGTGCGGAGCGCTTCAATTAGGATTTTTGTCAAATAAAAATAGAATCCCGAAATGCGGCACATACATACACACATGCCCGTGTTACCCCTTTGCGCCTCCCACTTGGACAACGCATCTAATTTTGGAACAACCCGCACGATTCCCGTAGTTCCGCGGCCGGAGCAAAGGGCCCCACCGAAATAACGGCCGATATCTTGCGGTCCCCGTATGGCCCCCATTCGTCCCCGGGGGACGCCTCTATCACCAGTGATATAAGCATTACCTAAGACGCCAATGCTCAGAAAATATGTCACTCACCTAACAGGAGCCTGCAGCGACGAAGCGGCACGGATTTCGATCGCCCGCGATGATCCCGCGACGCGGCCACACGGATGAAGCAACTTTGCACTGCGGAAACACGAATAAACACCGAAATGCATCAAAGTGAAATTCTGACACATCCTGTTGACAACCTCTCCCAACAATGACCGATTAGCGACTGGCCGCTTAAACATTTCAGAAGCTTGTTTGGGCGATTCCATTTCGACGGAACGGTCCAACGCGCCATCCTCGCTTTCACCGAATCCACCCTTTCGTTCATCCAATACCATTCATATCAACTCCATATGGGCGGAAAATACACAAAGACATCTCTACTCATGATGATTTCGTCAAATTTCATCGAAATTTCAAGAATTGAAATTTAAATTATGACCGACCACACACTCGATGCGAAATAGACTCGTCCTCTAGGTTCGTCCGACGTCCGTTGAGCTGGCCGCCAGTGGGCGCTGCCGGCGCTCGAGTTTTAAATTGTACCGCGAATTTAAAATAATGTAAACAGACCTTCGAATTGATTTGCAATGATACATGTGTCTTAGCACTCTCAAATTACTCCATCACCAACTCTTCCTAATTCAAATATAAACTATTCATATTCACAACCCTATTCAGCATATTCAATAGTATCAAAATATTAATAAAAAAAAAACAATTACAAAAAATACTATTGACTAAACAAACAATTTAATTGATACTGATGGAAATGTATCATCACAATCAACTCATTAAAAATCATATACAAAATATTCACTCAATCACAGTATAAACTTAGCTAATTTATAAATAAATATAAGGTCAATACAAAAATAATTTATATTGGAAAATTAAAATTAAATAGAACAATTTTTTTTAATATAAAATAAATAAAATGATTACTAGTTTTATCTTAATTTTAATCAATAAACAAAGCTTATCCAAGTTGTTTTTTTTATATAATTCAATAAAATATATATATAAACAATTGAAATTGTTTACGAATTTTATTATAAACTAACTAGAATCATTTTTATGTGTGTTCTTTAACAAATTCTAAACGTAAATATTAATAATTAAAAGTTAACTTAATAAAATTATTCTTATAATATCTTTTTGCAATAATTATAAATTTTGTTATGTTATTTTTGTTAGTTTTTTTTTTTAACTAATACAAAGTGATCATAATACAAAATTCTCAGTAATTATTTTATATATATTTTTTTTAATTCCAATTTGTTATATAGGGAGGTATTTAAAAAAAAGAACAAAATCTTTGAATTAGTATTTATTATTATTTCTATGAGATTTTTGTTCGTCAGTTTAGTTCTGTTTCTAAAGTTTTCATTATTTGTAACAATCAAAAACACTTTCAATCACAATAACAATTATAGTAAAACAGAATATTAACTGTTACAAAGGGTTATTGACCCGTTTTTAAATTATTATATTAAACATATTCCTAACCATATATTTTATTATTATTAAAAAATCTATTTTATTTTAAAGATTGTTTTTGAAAAATAATTTGCATGTATCCACATTTTCTTTATTATTGTCTTCTATTAGATATTCTTAAAAGTATGAGTCTAAAGATAGAAACTAGAATAAAATAAATATTTTACATTTCAAACATCTATATCATTACATTTATCAATGTATACAAATAAAACGCACTTAGTTTTCTTTGTATACGATTATCTAATATATAGATGTTTTTATAAGTTTTATATCTGTTAAGAGTTTTCTAATTAGACGTTATGCGTAATTTATGTGATAATAATTTTAAGCGACGTTCTTTTTTGTTAATAATGTAATTATAAAAATTGTTTTATTTTTCTACTATTTTTCTATTTCCAATATCGATTAACTAAACGAAAATTAGATGTGTCTAAAATGATTGCATTTTAATTGTATTATAATGAATCAAATGCTTATCTCTTTATCTTATTTCTAAGTCACAAGGACTTTGATCACAAATTAGTCTTAGGTGAATAATCTGGAATTAGTAATCGATAATAAGCAACAGGTATACATTAAATATGAGACTAAATAATAGCGTTTGTTATATGCAACCAATAAAACAAATTAAATGGATTTCAACCAATCCCCTTATAGACACGTGTCTTTAACGTCAAAAACCAGTTGAATTCCGAAAAAGCAAAGTTAGTGCAGTTTCAGAACTGGTCCTAACAATGAAGTCCATTGTCTTACTCCTGGTTCTATACTCATTTCAAACAATCTTTGCTCAAACAAAGATAAATCCTCAGGAATTGAAATGCTTAGGTATCTATTATCTAAATTGTGACTAAAAAGTATCTTATTATACTCATTATTATTTTGCAGTTTGTGAGAAAACAATTGAGGAAGTTGAGAACATTGTAAACAAGTTGGATCCAAGTATCCATGTAGATGCAGGTGGTTACAGATTGGATGCCAGTGGTAATCTTAATAAGAAAACAGTTCCTCAAACCAGGTCTGAGCTTCATCTATCAGAAATCTTGGACAAGGTTGGTGTTCTTTTGGAAATAGTTTGTTTTTAATGATAATAAATATGGTAATCTGTTGTAGATATGTGAAAAGATGGATGATTATGTGAGGGCAACCTGGAAGACCAGTGGTAAACTCACTTTACTTAAGTTGATGGATCCAAGTGGAAACATGAGCAAAGATATGAGTAAAGTGGATATCATACAGGATTCTGACTTGAATAAGAGTTTGAAATATTATGTATGTCTTGCAGCTAATTGATTCATGATGTTGGTTTTAATTAAATTTATATTTCAGTGTGAAGGTCTGGTTGAGGAACATGAAGATGCCATAATTAAGAGTTTTGCTGAAGCTTTGGACAACATTGATATTAGGATATGCACAATGGAAACTAAATACTGCTCAAAAACATTGCCAACTGAAGATTATATTAATGATGAATTATAAACCTTTTGATTGATATGAACATAAGCAAATTCATAACATTTATTATATTTATATATAATACTCTACAAACATTTGTTTTGTAAATTGTACACAAATACTGTAGATTTTTTTAAATTAATTAAAATGTAATTGTTACAAATTAGTCAATATGTGTTGCTAACCCTATGTTGCCCTATGATACAATTATATCATGATGTTGCCCTGTGTCAAAATGTAAGGGTTTGACATTTGTAGGTTATGTGAGGGGGAAATGTCACAATGTACAGATTACGTTTTTATTTAGTTTAGGAAGTTAATTTTTTTGTTTTGAATTTGTTGTTTAGTTTTGAAAAGAAAAATGTTGAACGACTACGACGCAAACAATGAAAATTACAAGACCATATCCATTTTGTCACAATGTTGTCAAGGTATTGGAACAGTGCATTTAGCTAAGCATTTATCCAGTGGCCAAATGGTTGCAATCAAGAAATTTAACATGGATAAAGCAAAGGATGAAATTAATTTAATTGAGGTACGCATCTAATCCGTATTACGCAATTTCATTATATGTTATTTTTTTAAATTAATTCTAGCAAGAGATCATTTTGACTAGACAACTGAAACATCTTAATATAATCAAATACCACATTGCCTTTGTTAGTGGGCCAGAGGTTTGTGTCATTAGTCCACTCATGGGATATGGGTCTTGTCGAGATTTAATAAACACACATTTTAATGATGGTAAGTCACATGCAAATACACAATTATTACCATAAAGATTGTTGTGATTTTAGGATTGCCCGAGAATGCAATTGCACTCATTACAAGGAGCGTTTTAGATGCCCTAGACTACATACATAAACGAGGGATAATTCACAGGTTATTTTCATTTGCTCTCCATCATTATACTTAATGCTGTTATTTTAGAGCAATTAGAGCTAGTCATATATTGATCTCAGCAAGTGGCCTTACTTGTTTATCAGGGTTTAGGTACTCTTGTCCAATTGTGAATAATGGAAGGTGGCAAAAGCAGATCCACTCATTTCCAGCAAGCACAGCAAGAAATTTGAATTGGCTCAGTCCGGAAGTTTTAGAACAAAATTTAGAAGGTACTAAAAGGTCACAAAATATACTCACAAATTACTCTCATAATCTTTATTTAAGGATACAATGAAAGATCTGACATTTACAGTTTTGGTATGCTTATATGTGAATTGGCAAATGGATCTGAACCATACTCAAATACATCATCTACATTAATGCTAACAGAGAAAGTAAGAGGTTGTATACCACCTTTACTTGATTGCACAACTCTACCAGATGAAAGTGAAATGCATGGTATATATTTAAACAATAGTGTAAATAACGTTAAAATTATCAATATTCATCTTTCAGGAGATTCTGGATTGAAATTGTCTTACCATCGGCAGGCTCGTCGTCAATTTAGTGATTATTTGCACGAACTTAGTATGCTGTGCTTACAGCGGAATCCTTATGAAAGACCTACAACGAATTATTTGCTAACCCATCCGTTCTATAAATTGAGTCGACGTACTTTACAACTATGCGAATTACTTAAACCTGCTCTACCTTTAAGCGATAAAGTCGCTTACAACAATGGTAAGTGAACATTTTATGTCATTTCTCAATATAATCCCTGAATTCATTTGCAGATGAAATGGAATGTTTCGAGAGTCTGCAGAAAATTACCGACATTGATTTGTATTCCTGTGACTGGGATTTTTAAGAAAAATGTGATAAGTCAGTTCATTACTTTCATTACTATATGTTCCCTCCGAATTTATTAAAGATATATAAGTTCGCTGGAAAAATGGAAATTCACACTTGTGTTTTCGTTTATTCGTATTTGCCACATTCTAAGCATTGCAGAATAAACGACTTTTATTTAATATTACTATTGAAAATACGTATTGTAAACAATATATTGTTATAAATAAAATAAAAAATTGTTTCCTTTTTATACCTTGTGTGAACGTTCTTTAAAATATATAATATTATATAACATCAAAACTGTTTTAGGAAAAAAAGTATTTGTTCTTTCTAAGAGAGATTAAATTTTGATTTAGGAATGCATAATTTAAGAAATTAGCAGATTTTCAAATATGATCAAAGATAAAATTGAAAGAAATGGAAAAAAATGTATATAAAGTCTTGTGTTCATTATTTTTGCAGCTTCTTGTACATCCAAATATTATTGCTTAATGCATATTAAAACTATTGAGGAAATAGTATATTATATAGTATGATACTAATATATTTGTAACATGAAAGTATATCATTTTCAAGTATGTAAAGTAGTCTATCTTCACCATAAATTGATTTTTGGTAAACAGCGTGAATTGGTGCGAATTTAATTTTTCATGGTTCCTATGTAAGATGAGTGAATTGGTATCAGGTGCTTTCACATCATCAATAATTGATGGAGATGACCAAGAACAATGTGGACCAATGCCACTTTCTAAATTAGAGGCAGGATAACTTTTATATTTTGTCTTCTTTTTATATAAAACTCTCCACTCACATAGTGGTGGTAAGGAACTTAGCTCGCACCTTGCGTAATGCAGTCAGTCAAGCCAAATATATCCATGGTTGCTATATAAAATAATATCAAATAAATATCATACAATAGAATAAATAAACAGAGAAGATTCAAAGTGAGCCTCTGCCATCTGTTCGCTTGGTCCACAACTATTTCCCTTGTTACACTTGGTTCTTTTTGATGGCCATGATTTGCCAAGGAGTCTGCCCACACGTTATCTGGAATCCCAGAGTCAGAGTTGCCCAGAGTGACCTGGAGTTACCTGGTATCCAGCTGAAAGCCATCTTTATGTTCCTCTATCTGAGCCGATCTAAGATCATTTTAATTTGTGAAATGAGGATGTTTACTTTGTGGGTGTTTAATATAACGCTAATTGCATCCAACGATCTCTTAGAGTCTGATAATATTAATACTCTGGGCCAATAGTACTCCTCTGTCAGACATTCAGCTCTGTATATCGCATAAAGCTCCGCTGAATATACAGAAGCCAAGTTCACCAGGCGGCCGCTCTCAACATTTAAATCCTCCACATACAACCCATATGACTCTTCCGTATAGATTTTAATATGGTGTTCCCACCGATTTAGTTTAAAATATAGGAAATTCTGGTGCAGTTAGTGCAGAGGGACATAATTGTACTTTTTATTGATGTAATTTCTTTCGGGTCTCCTCCAGCGGGCTTGCAGTAGCAAATTGAAAAATCTCGTCAAGATATGATCAAATTTTATATATTTATATATTATATATAAATTTGATTAGGTGTGGAATACCTTTAGGTCTCGATCCAAAATAGAAGGAGGAGCGTTGGCCATTAGCTTGCATATATATTTTTGGATGGAGCTTTTCCATCGTATTACAACTCCGAAATATTTTAAAAATGTTATTAATGAAATTTTCGATATAGTCGGGATTTTGATACGGTTGAGATTTTGCTATAGTTGAGATTTTGCTATAGTCGGGATTATGGTTGTCGAGATTCTGATACAGTCGGGATTATGGATGTCGATATTTTGATATTGTCGGGATTTCGAACGTTATTAGATTCCAAAATATCCGTATATCTTTTCCAGTTGGTTTTCTTATGATTTATTTTAGCCGACCATATTCTCATGGAGGTAGCATGTGGGTTTCCCGTAGTTATGATCGTTAAAATTGGGAAGTGGTCACTGCCCAGGTTGTCGCTTAAGGTTTTGGATGCACAGTTTGAAGCAATGCTAGGGGAGGCGATGAATAAATCTAGAATATTGGGTTCGTGTGAGTGAAGTGGGTAGGTCTACCATTATTCATGATAATTAGATTGTGTCGGTCTATGATCTATGATAGCAGGTGGTGTCCGTTGAAGACTCCCATGTTGATAAATGGAGATTGAATCTTGGTCAGAATATCCGACCAATGCGCCTTCAACATTAAAGTGTTCGGGGGATGTAGCCCGATACTATGGTTATTCCTCCGATTTCACCTATCATAAATTGAATCCTGGACGGAAGAATATTATTCGGTGTCCTATATTTACACTTCATGTGTTTTTTTATATAATAAAAATAAATATATTTAAGATATATTTAATGTTAATAAAATTTTTAGGTAACTGGCATAACTGCAGGAGATATTAAAAAACTAAATGATGCTGGATTTTACACTGTTGAATCTGTTGCATATGTGACCAAAAAACATTTGGTATCTATCAATGGAATATCAGAGGCAAAGGCTGAGAAGATCATCAGCACTGCAACAAAGTTGATTCCTATGGGCTTCAACACTGCATCACATGTTTTAAAAAAGCGCTCTGATATGATACAACTGACAACTGGCTCAAAGGAATTGGATAGGCTTTTAGGTGGAGGCATTGAAACTGGTTCAATCATAGAAATCTTTGGAGAATTTCGAACAGGAAAGACACAAGAATTATAAAAAGAATAGACATTTTGCATATTTATGTTTGACGAAATATCAATGGGCTTAGATATATTGTAACTAAAGTTATAACTATTAAAGAAAATGAACCAGTAGCGAAGAAAGGTATAGGAGGGAACATATAGTAATTAAAGTAATGAACCTACTTATCACATTTTTCTTAAAAATCGCAGTCACAGGTATACAAATTAATGTCGGTAATTTTCTGCAGACTCTCGAAACATTCCATTTCATCTGAAAATGAATGCAGCGATTATATTGAGAAATGTAATAAAATGTTCACTTACCATTGTTGTAAGCGTAATCTTTTAGTTGTTAAATTTTTATTATCTAGTAATGTTCCACGAATGCTTACGATTATAACCGAATATATATTGGCAAATAAATTTAGTTATTAATGTTTCCGCAGGAGTGCGCATTGTTTGTATATAACTTATATAACCTATAAATGTGATTGTTTACTCATATTTTAAATATGTGAAGAACTAATAGGATTTAAAAATCATGGATAATGAGGATAAAGTAGCAATGGAAAGTGAACAATCAGATGATGAAAAGTCTGATATATCATTAAAAATAGTTGAGGATAGTCCGAAGAAAAAACAACATCACGAAATTACCCCACAGGATAAGGAAATTCTTTCCAAATTTGAAACTGAATTTGAGGAGAAGTTGCAGGAGAAAGCTGAGAAAAATAAATTGACTACATTCAATGTGAAGAGGATTCTGAAAGATGTTGTGACAAATGAGCATGTCATAGCATTAGTGAGAAAAGCTAACAATCCGGATGAGAATATACCATTACAATTTGAACCTAAACTTACAAGATCAACTGCAAAGTATGTTAAATCTAAATAATTGGTCATTTCTATTAAAACATGTATTTTCATTAGGAAACTGTTTAAAACACAACCAGTAAATGTATGGAGCTCTAAAAATTCTGAAACTCAGGTTCTGATAAGCGAAGAACTAAATGAAGATTCATCTGGGGATGAATACATTCCAACTTATGAGGTATTGTTTGATACATGTTTATAAATGTTATATGTACTAATGTTTTTTTAGAGTGAAGATGATAGGGAAAGTTCAGTTGCTAGTAATGATGTTGGTTCTCCAAAAAACAAGTGCATTAAAACAGCTTGGTCAGAAGATGGTATTTTTAAAGTACCTCATAAGAAGACAGCAGAAGAAATTGAGGAAGAAGCCAATATTGCTAGGAGAACAAGATCTAAATTATCTTTAAGTGATAAATCGTTAGAATTTTTAGCAGAATCATTTGTACCACCTGACATACCACCAGATTGGCTTCCTGTTGATTGTGATGATGAATATTGGGCGCAATTTTTGACAGAATTTACTAAGCCATTGGATGAAGTTAGTAAAATAGAAGATGAAGATCATGATCCTGAATATAATGTATTGGCAGATGAAGAAATTGATAAAGGTATTATAATATCAGTGCAAATTATTGTTGTAATAATAATGTGAATGATATTTTTATAGTGGATAAAGAAGAGTTAAGAGCTGATAAAGGAGTGAAGGTTTCAAAGAAAGAGTTAAACGCTTTAATTTCCGAACTTGCCGAACTCGGCGATTATGCCTATAACTATGAGATCGAACAGCAGCGTAAACAGCAGTACATTGAACAGTCTGCAAATCTTTCTATTTCAGAATCGGAGAGTATCGTTATGGTTCGGCCGGTAAATGAATTATTCTAATCAACATTATTCGCGTTATTAAATTACTTTGTTTATAGTCTTTAAACGACGAATTGGTTAATGCTAAAGTTACTATTCTACCTGAAAATTTTGAAGCTTTTGATGACCACCAATATCCGCTCTTACAACAACAAATGCGACAACATGTACAAATGCTTACTCAGTGTTTTCTATTGACTTATGAACATCCTGAGTTCAATACACTTTCTTCCAATTGCACTGAATCTTTGGTTTGTTTATTTCGTAAACGGTAAAACATTGTCAATTAATTAAATTTGTTTTTAGAATGAATTACTGCAAGCAAGTAATGGAAATGACAAATCGTTTTTTAACTCTACGAATTTGTTAAGTGCTCTATCTTTAATTAAACAATGGGAAGCCAAATTTGAAACTAATGATGCTGAGGTTGTTCAGTACAAAGAGTGAGTGACTATTAATAATAATTAAGATGAAGTAATTATCTTTGTTTTAGTCATGTGATGAGGATCATTTGTGAAACGTAATGTATGATTAACTATTCATATTTACTTTAGCTTTATAGTTATATTTTAGGAGGCAAGCTAAGAAATCTGGTATTACTTACATACCGACGTTTCCAAGATATTTATTGCAAACAGTATGCAATAGCGATGTGTTCTTATATCCAATGCTTCTACCGAGAATACCTTTCAAACCTTCGAATACATTCGGACGAAGATTATTTATTATAGAATCAGAGGCTGAACTGATTGCACATGGCTTGGAACAGTTTTTGCCATTTATGAAATTCCAGAAGAATCACTTGAATTCGAAAGGTGAAGTGCGTTTGATAGATGCGAGCAACTACATTTCCAAATATCTAATGCCTCACTTATCTGCACGAAAAATATATCGGTACATATTAGTGCACAAGAAAAGTAAATTCAAGAATCCAATAAAGCAATTCTTTGAAAAGAACAGATCTACTCCGCCGCTACATTATGTGGCGCCTTTGGATCAATTTATGATTCTACCGCCATGTCAAAGGAGTATGGAGCAATTACCACATCAGTGGAGGGAATTTTTGTATCCGCATTCGAAAATATCCAAGCACACGAAAGCTGTGAGTATTATCCTATTTGAATACGCCGCGTCCAATTTATCATGTTGCCAACATTCAAACAATTATATAAAGTTTTCCTGTAATTTGACAGTGACAGTTGTTTACAGTTTTTGGGATCTACAATTATTGTTTATTTTCAGCTTATTATTTCACCGCTATTCGTTACATCACCTGAACCATCGACGAAAGACTTTTTTAAGAAGCGGAAAATTGAAAATAGTACTTTAATATCCCCTCAAAAAAGGAAACGGACAGATGAAAATAGTTATGTACAATCTGAGGTGTTGATATCGTCTTTGGAACCAGTAGAGAAGGCCAAGTTTTCAACAACAATATTCTCATTTAGCATTACTAAAAACGTGCTAAAAAATAATGTGAATTTAAATACAAGCAAGTTAATGGAAAAAGCTAGTGCCAACAAATTGGTTTATACATCAATAAAGCATGTTTATTTAGCTTGTGATTTGCTTGAAGTTGTATTTAAATGCTCAATACTTATAAAAATCATGCCTGTTGATGAAAATGAAGGTGTCTTCACTGAATTGTTTTCTGAAAAATTGGATGACAAAGTTTCATTCCAAAATGCAAAGTTAAATGATATGAAATTGGAGATTATGTTGAAAGAAGATGTACAGGATTCTGATAAGAAAGTGGTGGAGGTGGAGGAACCAGTAAAAGTATGCATATTCTGGATTGCCCTTAATTTGTATAATAATAATTTATTTATTTGTAGGACAATTTGGATGATATTAATGCATTGATGGTGGCAAGTACAACTATAAAATCTAGTGAAGGTCGACGAAAGCCAACAGGGGCTGAGAAGAAGAGGGCCAAATTAAGAAGAGATTATAATGCAACCTTACGTATGTTAATACCTGAAGAGGAAGATGTTGTAGCTGAAAAAACTGAGAGTAATATTTTTTAATTAAATTTGTGTAAATATTCTCTAATAATTATTTTTCTCATTTTAGGATTTGTGCAAGCTTTTTATGATAAAGTGCGGGAAAGATTAGATTTGCACGAATATCATAGATTCATGGAGGTATTGAATAACTTTGATGAAATGTATGATTCCGTTACCGATCTTTATAATAAAATTGAAAATATTATTAGCGATAAACATCCTGATATTCTGGATGAATTCCTTACGTTTTTCACAAGTTTGCAGGCGAAAAGCATTGGAAAATTAATACCACACTTGGTAATGAATAATATGGCTTTGTTTCTGCACAAACTTGAGATGATTTTCAAAGATCAGCCATCACAAGTTAGGAAGATTTATAGATGTTTAACAGAATTGGTTGCAATGCAGAACGTTTCAATGGATCATGTTAAGAGCACAATTTTACCATTGTTGAAAGGAAACAATTTATTAATTGATTGGTTCTTGCAAATATTCCCTACAGAAAAACCTCCAGAAAGATTAATGAGAGGTTCATGGGAAAAGATGGAGATGACAAATGATGATCATTATGAGATGATCACGATACCTGACGTTGAAGATCCGTATGGAGGTCCAACTTGCATCTGCCAATGCCATAACGTGGAAGATCAAATATTTAAGTCCCGATCAAAGCATTGTGTACCTTGTGGTACGAAATTTATGCAAGGCAGAGTTTATGTACAAACAAGTAGAGGTCTTAGATTAGCGAAAGTTATATTTGAAGATAACAATGTGGATCATTCAGCTCGTTTGGCTTGTAAAGTAAAAACGAAAAGAAGGGAGAGTCCAGTAAAGCAGATATCTCCTGGAAAAGACAGTCAGTGCAGTTCTGACGATGAGCCTGATAAGAAACGAGTGCTGAAAACGCCAAAGAAAAGGAAACCTAAGAAGATTACACCAAAAGTCGAAGCGGGATGCTCGAAGCAAGTGTTAGAAGAAAAGGAAGTTGTTGAAGAGAAAGATGTGCAAGCAGAGGTTCCGCAGGTGGAACAAATGAATGGCAATACTAGCGATTCTAGTATAAATGAAATAAAAATACCTGTCGAGGAGAATGTCGAGTGGGATTGTAACACATCTATAGAGTCAATCGAGTTGAAGATGAGCGCAGAATCAGAGAGCGACTTTTGCGAGGAGACATCTCAAGATAATAATTCTGATAGTATGGGTTCAGAATCTGAGCCTAATTCGCCGACTTTTCCGGAAATACAATGGGCGAGGGAGGAGGATAAGATTATATTGGAGATGTTCCAGAAGGAGACCGACAAGGATGTGGCATTCCAAAGAATTGCGAACGTCTTGCAGAATCGAAGCATCGCTCAAATCAAACAGCGATTCGAGACTCTCATGATTTTGTTAAGGGAAATGACGAAAAACAACAAAGTGTAATTAAAGAGTTTACTGAAATTTAAAATAGAGATCTATTTCGTATAATTGTGATGTTAATGTTAATATTATTTATTTTCTATGCTACTAATTAGTATTTAGTTTCTAGTTGTGGACAATTTCCATATATAACCAATAAAGTGTTATTGTATTATAGAAAGTTATATAGTTTGTAAGAATATTTCGGTTTAATAATATAGTAAGAGTATAGAATAGTTTATATATTGAACATTTTTATATTGCAATAAAACATATTTCAAATAATAAAATAGTACATAAATATATTTTTTTCATTACATATTTAAAAAATGGATATTTCTTACATAATATTAATGCAAATATGGCGGTTGTCTTCTGATAACTTTTGTAAGTTAAGCAAAGTCTTTAGTTGGATGGGTGACTCATCAAAACTATTATTTTTTATTATCAAACTTTATGATTGAAACAGCAAAAATGTACCAGAATTAACCTATCTTGGTATTGAGGACGCACCTCAATCGATTTCTAATGTTAAGGTAATTAAAAATAACATTTAATTAGAAGTAATTGTAAATTGATTTTTGAATAATCTTTTTTAGTTCCATAAATATCTCAAAATAATTAATTATAAAACAATTATTTTTATATATTCAAGAGGATAAATTTGATTAGTTTATGTGGTTGTGTTTTGTGACATTAAACAGCGGTTTCCTTTATGTAGTCCTGGGTTAGAATGAAATATAAGGTAATATACTGCAGTACTGAGGATGCAGGAAACCCAGAAAATGTAAATTTCTTTGTTGGGTGTTGAAGTGTGAGCCGGTGTTTCGCCTGAAGAGCGAAGCAATGTGCGGAGTGTTAATTTGTAATTTGAAAATAGTAGTCGGCTCGATCTTAAATGGGCTCATTTGTAAGTGTAGCTGCATGCATATAAATCAGGGTTGTTAGTGTGCACATGTGTTCCATGGTAGACGACGATGTCTTTCACGGTTGAACACCGGACACACTTTGTGGGAGCCGCCTCGGAGAGCGCTCACGCGAAAATGTGACAAATCTTAGCAGCGACCATTAAACATAAAAAGTAGTCCCATCGAGTTTGCCACACACGTAAAAAGGGAGCAGGATGAGGAAAAAGAAGAAGGAAGAGATGAAAGCGAGGAAACACGTTTTCGGCATTCAGACTCGAGGTCCCCAGCAATTTCCTGTTCTATGTAAAACAGCCCATTTGAGCCGTTTTACATATAGTTGTACAATCATGCATATTTCAGGAGTTCACACTTTCCTGCAGTCAACGTATATACATACTCCTACACCTTCATAATAATATGCAGCGTCCGCAACAAATTTCTGACAGATTAAGTAAATTCCGTCCGATGTTTTAATGGTTCACCCCGTTTTCGCCGATTTGCCGTTTTCTACTCTTTTTTTATCCTGTTCATATTCCTTCTTCTGATATTACTGCAAACGCAAATTTACAATTACAATTCCTTATTATAATGCTATTATTATATTTACATGTCATTTATTTGCTGCTGCTCTGAAATGTTAACTTTGTTCCTCTAGTTTTACATTAAGGAAACATACATTATTCAAAATTTATTCGCACTACACGCGATTCCCACGCTCCGGAAAACTCTGTAATAATCATTCATATAGGATCACGTTTACATCTCTATATACATTTTGCTTTGTCTTCGCTCATTAATTCTACAGGCGTTGCAAACCTACTACTGATATTAATCAAGTTACAATAAACTAAGATGCTTATTTAATAGCAAATTTCTAAAACTTTTCACATCATCATTTAGATACAAATCCACGATTGTTTTTCTCATCTTGATTGTGGAATAACTAATGAAAAATTATTAGTTATCTTTTATTAGTGTCAAGATTGACAAAGACTCAGCAAACTGTATTTTGTTTATTTATACTTTTATATAACTATTGCACTAAATATTATTAATATTACAACGTACAAATCTCTTTTCAAAAACTATTAAGTACATCTATGATGATCAAAGCTATTGCCATAAATTATATAATAAATATTGTTAATATGCATATTAATATAATTTAGCTATTAAGTTATGAACTGTGTAAACTAAATTCGAAAATCAACTATAGATGCAGAAGAATATTAGAACGATGGATAAATTAAACATGATTTCCAATAAACCGTAACCTCGTAAATAGATTTTTAACGAGATATATGCCTGTGTGCATTGAATAGGAATATGTCGATGGTAAACAGATATTATTCTCGGATCTTTATCACAGTCTTGTGAAGAATTTATCGAATGAAAATTATGTTTTACGACAATTTCAAATAATTCCGAGAAAGTAATGTTTTATACTTCCTTTGGTGTGATTTCAATATTTGTAAAATTCTGTGGTGGTTAGAAAAAAATATATCAACGAGAATCAAATACAATATTTGAATAATCCAGGTTTTACAATAAAATATATAATTTACTATGTAATTAGTAGCGCCGCAGCAAAAGTTGGGGCGACGGCCACAGGTAATAGTGTTTTCTTAATGGTGCACAAATGAAATATTTAGTATCTTTCTTGAGGAAGGGGCGCAAATTTGCAATTGCACTGGTAATTAGTAAAGCAAATTGATTAGATCTTCTAAATGTGTAACATATCTTTATAATATTTGAACAGTAATTTGGTTTCATGTCATTTTTTCATTCACACAAAGCAAATAAATAAATAATCATCTATTTATTCTCAAATATATACAGTGTAACCTCGCTTAATCCGTTCCAAAATTTCCGGATTTTTACTCGTATAGTGAAACATATTCAAAAATACACATAATATGTGTACACAAGTTTTAAAAATGATGTAGCAGGCGCGGAATCCGGGACTTCTCTTCTCATAGTCACTCGTTATGCGAAACGTCGCTCGTTAAGCCAGTCATTTTTCTTACAATTAATTTTGCTCATTAAGCGAAATGCTCGTTAAGCGAGGTTCCACTGTATAATACTCTACAAATCGATTTCTTTAATGAGTCATAATTAATCTTATGGAAATACTTGCACATAACTTAAACTGCTAAATTCCACAAAATGATCACAGCTATAAAGAATGCACTACCTGTATAGCTGAGTTAATTAGTTTTATATTAATTAAGTATTTACTATGTATTGTTTTGTTTAAAGATTATTTACTATAGCAAATCGTGAATTTTTATACCCAAGCTGAGACACTTTTTATATTTCTTTTTCTTAAAAAATTGCGATTATATTTATTAATTTATACAAATAATTTATTATTTCTACATAGTAATAATTTCGTTTATTATTTCATTATTCTGTAAGAATTTGTAATAAAACAAGTTCATTTTACTTCTATTTAATATATATATATAAATTCAAAATTTGCATTTCAGCCTTTCTTTTCTTTCATTTTTAGCTATTGTATTCATTTTTGTTTTCAACTGTAAAGTATGTTCTGTAATATTTAAACGAAGAATTAATAGTATTATCCAAATTTAATTAAGAAACTTTCAAGTTTTATAACTCTTTTTACATACGATGTCCGCATATGTTTTTTTAAAAGGAATTTATTAATTTTAATAATGTACACTAGACTCGCTGCAATTAATTAACTGCTGCAGCATATTATTACAATAGATTCTTTTTAATAGATGAAATGGACAATTTTAGTTTCAATTGTTCTTACTGAATTAATTCAATTGTGTTAAATCGTTTACGAAATGTTGCGATTACAAAGTGATATTGATAAAGATCAGAATGTCATAATCTCTTGGAGAGTTCTCATACACTTTCGGCCTTGTTTTTGTTGTTGTTGTTGCTGTTGCAGTTAGAATTAACAATAGTTTTAAGCGACAAATTAGCATGATAAAATAATGAAATTGAATAACAATTACAGTAGGGCGAGCAATGATATATTCCGCTAATGCAATGAGTGCCGGTCCGATGGCGGCATTAGCCATGGCCATTGTTGGTTTGTCCCGCTCACTGACAGGCCCCATTGTTGCGACCTGTCAATCATCGGGCCCGGAGCGTAGCAGCACTTACAAAAAGCACCATTTAGTAACACTCTGTTGGCCAAAAATTAAAGATATTAATGTGTGCATTTTGTAAATGGGCAATACCACCTCCTCACCCCTCGAAAAACGCCAACCCCCCGTCCATTCGCACCCCCCCAACCATTTTCAGTCGCGTCAACTTTCATGTAACAATAATGCGCGCACGCCGACAATTTCAACCCTTCGATTCGACCACCCCATAAAAAGCAGACATAGAACCAAGACAAAAAAAAATAGATGTGACTTTTTTTTTCAGAAGTCAGTTCTCTCGACTGGGGGAGGCAAATAATTGTTTCAATTTGAGTATTTTTGTTATTTCAATAATACTTCTATTCATAGTACTAAAAAAATAATATTTATTTAAAAATTGATACCTCGCATTGTGCGGTTTGATCATTCCGATAAATTATAGTACGGTTTGAAAATTTCTAAAGATACAAAATTATATATTTTATACATGAATGATCAGTTTCTCTCTTTATAGAGTCCAGTATCTTCAGAACAATTTATTTATGTACAGTGGAACCTCACTTAACGAGCACCTGACTCGCTTAACGAGCGACGTTTCGAATAACGAGTGATGATGAGAAGAGAAGTCCCGAATTGCACATAGTATGTATATGTTTCACTATAGGAGTATTTCACTATACGAGTAAAAATCTGGATATTTTGGAACGGATTAAACTCGTTAAGCGAGGTTCCACTGTATTTAATTTCTCGATTAGGTTCCAATCAGTCAAGGAGTATTTCAATAATAAGAAAAAGTCATGTTGCTTTGTTATCATATAATATTTATATGTTTTATTTATTTACTGTAATATATGACTTTGTCAAAGAAACAATTAAAATGCTATTTATTTAATTCCTTAAATTAAATAAACTTATATAATGAAATGCGCACTTTGACTAATTCAACCCTTAAATTCAATCACCCCATAAAAGGCAAAAAAGGTATGTAACGTATGTGAAAGACACTCTCCCCCAGTATGGAAAAATACATTATTTGCTAAAGCTAAACTTCGAATCGGATATTTTTTTATTCAATTCTTGACTATTTTTTTTGCTGTAATTTATAATATATTTATAGCAACAATTTTAAATTCCATTATTTTACTTTAATAATATTTAATACATC